CTACAGGTAACACCCTATTGCCAGTAAAGCTTTGTGTGGTGGAACTCAGAAGGGGGTCACATTTATATGTCAAGAGCGTGATCAAAATCTAAACACTAAACATATGAAACATTAAACAATAAAATTGAAGTTGTAACAGTTATGGTAAAAGAAGTTTACAAAACTGACGCAAGTGAAAAATATGATTCTCGTTCTTTTTTATCACTTTAACATGTTAAAAGGGCAAAAATTAGGACTAACTGTTTGCCTTTTTGTATGAGTGGGAATACTTACCCGTGAATGCACAAGACGCTCACCCTTTTGGAACTCCTGGTCTTATTTCCTTGTTTTCAAGAGTCTTCATATAATCTGATTTTCTTACAATGATTTCCCTTAATTTCATTAAATTGGAGTTTATATTAAGATGTGGGTAAGTGTTGATTTGTCTCTTGTATCTTGAACAAAGTAATTTGAGATAAATCACACAAACTACATTCAATTGTATATTAATTTATTCTAATGTGTATTAGATTCTGTGTAAGTATATTTTTATCTTACAATTAATGAAACAAATAATTTTCAATGAAAAATAAGACCACCTTTGTAAACATATGAATTCAGAATAACAAGATAAAATAAAAACATTCAACATCAGAACAAAATGTCAAGTTAATAAGTTATTTCCTACCTATCTGTAAGAATCTACCTGTGATACTAAATGTTACATATGTTTGCGCATGTAGCTTAAAGACGCAAAAAAAACAAAAAACAAAAAACAAAAACAAAAAAAACAAGACATTTCTTGCCCTGTAAAAAAAGTGTTTTTTGTGACGTGGCAATGTTTAGCAATAATTTCACCATAAAAAATGAGGAAAGACACTGTCGGCGCTTTTTCGTGGCAATAAATTGTTGTATTATAGCCTTTTCCAGGAAAGATATTAGATAATGGCTTATTGATTCCAACTGCCTTAAGTGAAACAGACTAAGAATGTCATCTGTATAGGCATAAAATATTGTCACGAAAAATGAACGCATCGGTAACATATCTCTCTCACTTCCTTTCCTAACGAATTGTAGACCTTTAACAACATTCGGACAATTCTTTGATCTTATGTTTCTGTTAAATTTTTTGTTCATTGTCATATCTAGGCTGTATAGAACACAATTGTTAAATACATAAGTAATATACGTCATCAATACACTATTTATTTAAAGATTATAAAATCCTTCCTATGGTGAGAAATTCTCGTGTGTTAACTGGAGACATTACCAAACAGTTAATACCAAGCAGAATATACACATAAACACCATGATCACCACAAAATTTTTGTTAAAAAGATTTTCAACAAAAAAATAAATAAATAATAAAAATAACAGAGGCAATACATAAGACTTATTACAAAATCACCAATACCCATACCGGTTTCAGCAAAGCTCTCTAAATTTGGTCTTACCAGGTTTGTGAAAATTTAATAAAAATTCTTCGATGTTAAAATAACATCAACCCAGGAAACATTTTTTGTAAATTGACCAAAAACTAATCCAAACTTGATCTGTACATCATCATTATACAACTACATAGAATAAGGTTCATTATCGTTATCCCTTTGATAGTAAATTAATGCCAACAAAAGTAATGGAACACTACATGCACCCTGATCCTGACATGACCAATCAAATGGCCGCATTTAGTTTCCATGGAGACTGATAAATGATGTAATATACACTCAGCTATGTGATATTTTTAAGACATAGTCAAGTACATGCCTACTGTGATAAGGTGTAAACTAGTAGCAGATAAGTATCAGCTTCACTTCTGTTTTACACCTGAATTTCATCATTTCTGATCAATCAGTACATTTTACAACAGTAGGAACTTCAATCTAGGACCGTTACTACTCATCTGGATGTTTTCCTTTCACTTGAATTGAATTTTATTCACAATTAAAATTTTACATTTTTCCTAAAATATGATAAATCTAAAGTTTCAGAATAAATTTTGACAAAGTATTTTCTCGTAAGCAGGAGACTGATGCAGCTCCACAGACCGTCAGAGTGATGAGATCAATAATTAATACAACAACGGTACTTGCAAATTTGCTTAAAAGACTTCAAACCAGGTCAAACCCAGGTCAGGAGGGGAGTACCATCATTCAGAGTAATAATATGTACAAAATTGAATGCGTTCACCCAAGGCTACATCAGACTAAATTTTGACTTAAATCCTGTCTTTCGTATGGAAGAAGGAATTGTTTTGGGCCCCACCCTTCTGGTACGATATCAAGTCCATCAGTCTAGAGGGGAAGATATTTATGGCAAAATAGCTTAATTTTCTGCCTTTTATCCTGCCCCTCAGACCCCCAGGAACGGTCATTCCCATAATTTATACAAATTTAAATCCCCACTGCCTAGACATACTGTTAATATAATGTTAATGATATCTAGTGCATAGTTAATTCTAATTTTAGTTGGCGTCATCCCAATTATCTCTTTAATTCTGAATCCCTAGCATATACATTGAGGGTATGCTTCCAATTACATTTAATCAAGTTCCCATCAGTGGTTCTGAAGAAGAAGTTGTTTGTTGAAATAAATGACAGACAACAGATGGTGGTATACAACATAACCACTACTGTTGACATGCTGATTTTCAACAGCTCAAAACAGAATACATTGTGGAGTAATCACACTAGAATGTTACCCTGGAGACAACAGACTCGAGGTCACAACATTTGAACATAAAAACACATATTCAATATATCTAGGAAATATTTGCAAAGGTTTTTTTCTAGTCTCACATAAAACTATTCATTTCGCCCAATACTGAATTCTTCCAAAAATACACAAACGAACATATCTTTTTAGCCATAACATCAAACTTTGAACACATCATTTCCTCATCGGTATATATAATAATATTTGAGATGTATCAGAGGCCAACTGACACGAGATCTTGACGATAATGTTTCTAATTTCTGATTACCCCAGAATCGATTTTGGTTGCAATAAGTTAACATATCATACGATATTAACAATCTTCAATACGTTTGTGTTAATATTCATTTCCTTATGACAAGGAAACTCAGTTAAACTACATAATAAATAGATCATGTATTATACTGTATAAATCAATCCTTATTATCACACACATAAAGATATTGTAAATGAAAAAAATTCTGCACATTTAAAACCACTGATACACAATAACTTTGAAACATGAAAGGCACTTTATAGTGAAGACACAGATTACGACTGCACATTAGAGGGCCTGACATACAAGGTTCACATCAAAATATCATCTTTTTTTTTCAGTAATAGTAATTCATATTCCGGAATTGAAATACACATCTTTGATGTAGGAGCACCACTGAGTGGAACAGTGGACAGTCATGTAAAATGGTTAAATAGGTTTTTGTATCAAAATGAATGGGAAAGTGGACATGTTGCTATAATTTGACTTCTCAATAAAAATGTCACTGAGGAAGCAAAATTGTATGAAAGAGGTTTTGAATAAAATGTTGAAAACATCAATAAGTTTAAACTAAGGAATTCTTTAAAAAATAAATTCTTGAAAAATCTTAGACTGAAGTTGGATTAGAAATCTAACAGGTCCAAGATATGCTCTGATATTGATAATGTCATCATTTGGTATAACAATGTGCTGATAAATGAGTTCAATGTATAGGATTGTCTAACATAATCAGCTTAGTAAAGGGCGACAACTCTGCCTTATATTGTTGAATTAGAGTATCGTTCTCGTACAAACACAACATAGAAAGGTCCCAAGACAAAAATTGTTTATGGTTTGCAGACAGACAGATGAAAGGACAAAGCCAATATGTCCTGACATAAATTATGACAGGCATACACAAAATAATGATGTAGCATGTTATTTTCATGTAAAGAATTTGAGGAGTAAATACATATATAATAAAAAATTATGGAAAATGTGAGGCATGGGGAGGTAATTATTAGGAGTGCAGGATTTTTTAAAGAGATATACATATGATTCATTAAATACAATTGCAAAAAAAAAAAAAAAAAAAAACGACTACCACAAAGTTATTTTCACCTAGACCTTAAGTTTTATAACGATTAAAAATTCCTTAAGTGTTACAATAAGATATTAGTCCATGCAATACAATATCAACATAAATAAATAGGAATGGTACAAAAATATATATCATCATTCAATATTTGTTTTGTTCAAAAATAAAAAAATAATTTGGATTATCAACCCAGAATATTGCTTCAAGGCTCACAAACATCATCAATTTTTATAAATTATGTAATAAACAAGAGGCTAAATAGGCATTGCTCCCTTAGTATTACACACTTTTCATAAACAATCAAGGTCACTGCTTTTCAGAAATTTTATTGAGCTTCATCAGAAAAGCCTATCAGGTAATATCAAGGTTGTAAGCCTTTTTGTTTTGCAGAAGATGTTTATTTCAACAAATCTACTGGTAATTCCTACGGCCTTAATTATGTGTGCAAACTATATCTGGCTTCATTCAAGGAATTTTTCATCTGAATATCATGATTCTGAATCTGAATTGAATAAAAAAGTTGTGATGCCAGACAGACAGACAGATCACTGACCACATATGGAATAAATTAAGCAGACTTTTGGACCAGCTGAGTTAAAAACAACAATGAAATTAAATATCACCTGATTTGGCTATTCAGGAATGACTTGAGAGAGTAATTCAAACTCTCAGGATGGGACTTCCAAAAAAAGGGACTTAGGAAAAACTTTTCCCTGTATGCTAAACAAATTTTAATAACATCTTGGAATTTGGTCATTACTTCAAACATCCTTAATACAGCACCTTTGTTAGAAATACATAAAAATTTTCTTGATCAATAAAAATTTAATAAAAGATCATAAATCATAATGAGAATGTATAACAAGGCAGTATTATAACATTCTGATAAACATCCTAAACATTTGTGTATGTTTACAACAACTTACAAAGGATGAAACCATCCTTCTACATATATTGTTTTTTTCTATCTAACACAAACCATTGAGCAAATGTCTTATAATGTGATAACAATAAGTAACTTCTTCCAGTCATCATTCCCTCACAGTTATCTTTCCTGATTCTCCTGAACATCTAGAGCACCAAGGCTCTTCAAAAAGTTCTTCCACTTCTTCTAGGTGCTTGCCTCTGGTTTCGGGCACAGTGAAGAACATGAACACAAGACCTAGAAAAACTATCCCAACAAATAACCAATAGGTTCCTGAAAAATAAAGAAATGACGGTAACTATTCTGATAAATCTGAAATAAAAATTCTATAAATCCAGACGAATTCTCCTGACAGTTCCTTCTCAGATTGATTCGAAAATAATTCCCATAAATTAGAAACATGACAAAACCAAATATCTGGTATAAATTCATTTTTTATTTTTATGAATGAATTTCACACTTTCCACAGCGACCCAGGTACGAATATAACAAATATGATATTTTACTTACAATATATTGGGACTAGTCCAAACATTGCCTGAACGCTTTATATTACAAATCACCTTGTTAATGACCTGCACAATACCCTACACCTTTCATCATCAGTAGATTTATCTTACCGTATTTAGTGAGTGTCTCTGTAAGGGTAAGGAAAGACATGGAGACTACTAAATTGAAGATCCAGTTGGTGGCTGTGGCTAAGGAACCCCCTGCACTTCTGGCCCACAGAGGATAGATCTCAGAGTTTATAGTCCAGGGCATGGGACCCATCCCTGTAGATAAATACACAGAGAATGTCATTAAATACGAATATATGTTGAATTGTATGATTTATAAACATCGCAAAAATTTTGTTATTCTTTGACTGTTTGTTTGATAAGACCTAGTTATACTGTTATGTACCATCTGTACAGAAAAAACCTTGTTATACTGCTAGCATTTGTACTGTAAAACCTTGTTATATTCACATCATTTTTCAAGTAACACTTTGTGATATTGCGAACATTTGAAGAGTAAATCTTTCTTTTTACTGCAACCATTTGTCCAGGAACTTCTTGTTATACCACCACTATTTGTGCTGTAAAACCTTGTTATACCACCACTATTTGTGCTGTAAAACCTTGTTATACCACCACTCTTTGTGCTGTAAAACCTTGTTATACCACCACTATTTGTGCTGTAAAACCTTGCTAAACTGCCAGCATTTGTGCTGAAAACCTGGTTATACCACCACTATTTGTGCTGTAAAACCTTGCTAAACTGCCAGCATTTGTGCTGAAAACCTTGTTATACCACCACTATTTGTGCTGTAAAACCTTGTTATACCACCACTATTTGTACTGTAAAACCTTGTTATACTGCCAGCATTTGTGCTGTAAAACCTTGTTATACTGCCAGCATTTGTACTGTAAAACCTTGTTATACCACCACTATTTGTGCTGTAAAACCTTGTTATACCACCACTATTTGTGCTGTAAAACCTTGTTATACCACCACTCTTTGTGCTGTAAAACCTTGTTATACCACCACTATTTGTGCTGTAAAACCTTGCTAAACTGCCAGCATTTGTGCTGAAAACCTGGTTATACCACCACTATTTGTGCTGTAAAACCTTGCTAAACTGCCAGCATTTGTGCTGAAAACCTTGTTATACCACCACTATTTGTGCTGTAAAACCTTGTTATACCACCACTATTTGTGCTGTAAAACCTTGTTATACCACCACTATTTGTGCTGTAAAACCTTGCTAAACTGCCAGCATTTGTGCTGAAAACCTGGTTATACCACCACTATTTGTGCTGTAAAACCTTGCTAAACTGCCAGCATTTGTGCTGAAAACCTTGTTATACCACCACTATTTGTGCTGTAAAACCTTGTTATACCACCACTATTTGTGCTGTAAAACCTTGTTATACCACCACTATTTGTGCTGTAAAACCTTGTTATACCACCACTATTTGTACTGTAAAACCTTGTTATACTGCCAGCATTTGTGCTGTAAAACCTTGTTATACTGCCAGCATTTGTACTGTAAAACCTTGTTATACCACCACTATTTGTGCTGTAAAACCTTGCTAAACTGCCACTATTTGTACTGTAAAACCTTGTTATACTGCCAGCATTTGTGCTGTAAAACCTTGTTATACTGCCAGCATTTGTACTGTAAAACCTTGTTATACTACCACTCTTTGTGCTGTAAAACCTTGTTATACTTCCAGCATTTGTGCTGTAAAACCTTGTTATATTGCCAGCATTTGTACTGTAAAACCTTGTTATACTGCCAGCATTTGTGCTGTAAAACCTTGTTATACTGCCAGCATTTGTACTGTAAAACCTTGTTAAACTGCCAGCATTTGTGCTGAAAACCTGGTTATACTGCCACTATTTGTACTGTAAAACCTTGTTAAACTGCCAGCATTTTTGCTGTAAAACCTTGTTATACTGCCAGCATTTGTGCTGTAAAACCTTGTTATACTGCCAGCATTTGTACTGTAAAACCTTGTTATACTGCCAGCATTTGTGCTGTAAAGCCTTGTTATACTGCCAGCATTTGTGCTGTAAAACCTGGTTATACTGCCACTATTTGTACTGTAAAACCTTGTTATACTGCCAGCATTTGTGCTGTAAAGCCTTGTTATACTGTCAGCATTTGTACTGTAAAACCTTGTTATACTGCCAGCATTTGTGCTGTAAAGCCTTGTTATACTGCCAGCATTTGTGCTGTAAAACCTTGCTATACTGTCACTGTTTGCTTATACTGCTGTCATTATATCATGAAATATTTGAATTGCTTTTCTTACCTGGAGCAAAGAACATGAGATAGAGGACTAAACCAAGGATGCCCATCCAGGAGTAATCTGTTGGACAGTAACCATAGGCCCAGACTGTGTCTGGGGGCAGAGACGTGCTGTTACATTGACCAAAAAGGGCCTGACTTGAATCATCAGTCATAATTGGTAGACATGATCCATTGACTGCAGACTTTCCAACCTCTGTGTAGCAGTAGCCACAGTTCTTGTCTTCTATACATCCCTCACACCAACTGTTAAATAGGTCAAGGTCAGCTTAGAGGCTTATACCAAGTGTTAGATAGGTCAAGGTCAGCTTAGAGGCTTATACCAACTGTTAAATAGGTCAAGGTCAGCTTAGAGGCTAATACCAACTGTTAGATAGGTCAAGGTCAGCTTAGAGACTAATACCAACTGTTAGATAGGTCAAGGTCAGCTTAGAGGCTAATACCAACTATCAGAAAGATCAAGACTGTAAATTAGGCTAGTACCAACTGTTAAAAAGGTCAGGAATAGGGATAAATGCTAAAACAACTACAACTGCTCATACTGAAAATCCTGTGTTACCATGAGATGGAAATTTTGGTTAATAAGTTCAAAATTGGCTACATGGTAATTGTTGGGGCTAATGGAAAGCAAGGAGTAATTGAAAGTACTTGTAAGTCAATTTCAGTCAATTTCAGTCAATTTTATAAACAGATGACCTAGTGTATGTGTATGACCATCAACTTGCAAAGAGCATGTGTAGCTTGTCTCAACCCTATGGTAACACAAGGAAATCTCACAGTGGTAAACAGTGTGGATATACCTATTAAGAACTTCTACAGATATAACTATGACAAATTGTTAAGATCCAACATGTTCACCTGTCACCCATTTTCCTCTTTCCTGAACTCACAGAACTTAAAGGGCAAAACTAGGAACCAAGAGGAACCTACATATGAAATTTAAGGAGGAGATGTCTTATACTTCTCAAGAAAAAGTGAAAACAAACTTTTAATTGTCAAAATCCAAGATGGCCAATGGTCAACCATTTTGCTTTTCTGATCAGTCATAAAATCAAAAGGGCACATCTAGGAAACAAGAGGAACCCACATATGAAATCTGAGAAAGATCCATCACAAACTTCTCCAGAAATAGCAATAACACAGACTGACCAGACCATGGACGTAAGTCAATTTGAGCTGGTGCTCAGCACAGGTCAGTTTATAGTTTACTAGGTTTCACATCATTTATGATGAAGTCAAACAACACCATTTTGTCTTATACCAAGTGTTAATTACATCAATAACTGAAACTTGGGTCAGATTAAACAGACTGGTACAAATAAACATCATAATGTTATTTTACCTTCACAACAGATGTTGTTCAAGTCAGATACACACGTAATTTTACAGAATTTTCAAAACATTACACAGATGAATTATCAATTATGAATTATTAAAGATATATCAGGAAAAACGTAAAATCGCCACTTCCAGCACATCCATCCATTGCAGTAGTGACACTGAACAAGTTTCGTAAAAGTCTGATCATTAGTTTAGGAGGAGTAACATTCACAAGGCTCCACTATGAGCAAGCTACAGACACAAAGTTGAAAATGGCATATATCTTACAAAATCAACGAACCAAAAAATCTCCCCTTCATGCACATCTACCCATTGTAGTAGTGACATTGAGCAAGTTTCATGAAAATCTGATGATTAGTTTAGGAGGAGTTGCGTTCACAAGAAATGAATGTACAGATGGATGGACAGACGGACAGACGGCATATAAAAAAACTGATCCTCTAAATGGATATTAAATCATTTTGTTATCAACCAAGATAAGGTGTGATATATACTAGGTGAGGTAGATACCACAGCACACACTTTTACAGTATAACTTCTTACTTGTAAGAGAGGCATGGTGACACTGAGCTATGATTGGTGTGATCAGAGACAGGCGGAGAGTTGAAGGCCATCAGCTGAAATCCCACAGCCAACACTACTAGACTAATTAGTACACCTGAAACAAAGGCAGAAAAGAGTCAAAGGGACACAACTCTTGGACAGCAATGCTAGACTTAATAATTAGATCTATAACAATGTAAGAAAAGGTCTAGAGGGACATCACTCCCAGCAACACTAGTCTTAAAAGAGTCAAAGTAGCGCAATTCCTGGACATCAAAACTAGCCTTAATGATACACTTAAAACAATGTAAGAAGAGGTCTAGTGGGACATTACTCACAGCAATATTAGTCTAAAATGAATCAAAGGGACATAACTCAAGGACAGCAATACAAGACAAAGCAATATACGTAGAACTAAGTAAGAAAAGATTTCAGGGAGGCAACTAGGGCAGTCACAGCGATGTTTTTCTAGGACCAAAAACAAAGGTCAAACAGAGTCAAAGGGACGTAACTCTAGGACAACAACTCCAGACTTAACAATACATCTAAAACACAGGTTGAACAGAGTCAAAGGGATGTAACTCTGGGACAACAACTCCAGTCTTAACAATACACTTTAAACACAGGTAGAACAGAGTCAAAGGGACGTAACTCTAGGACAACTACTCCAGTCATAACATTACACTTAAAACATAGGTAAAACAGAGTCAAAGGGACGTAACTCTTGGACAACTACTCCAGGCATAACAATACACTTTAAACACAGGTAGAACAGAGTCAATGAGAGGTAACAACTCTAGTCTAAATAATACACCTCATACAAAGTAAGGGAAGAGTTAAATAGATTTCTTAGCAACTATATCAACAGCTTGAGACAGCTGAAAAATAAACATCACTCATGATATATGTATTGCAAAATGGTGCTTACTATTACACAAATTTCACAATATACTTGTACATGTTGAAAAGTTCTACGTCATAATTATTGCAAAAGTTGTCCATATCAATAGTTTGTATATGTACCATCAAAATATTCTTTTCATAAAATTTCTAGTTCTTTCTGGGTATGATACAGTTGACCATGTCTTTGTTGAATGATTAAGCAAGAGTATCTGTGAAACTGATGAATTCTTCCCCAAAACAACTTTAATGGACACCAAATTTTCACAAAGGGCAATCATTTTGTAAGTAAGGGGTTTAGACCCTTAATTTGGTATTCCACACCTTCTCTTAGCATCACCAAGTTACATTATCTATATTAACTGACACAGAAGATACCTACCAAATAAACTCCCCAAGATAAGTGGGCGTCGCCCTATCCTCTCCACCAGCCACAGACCCACAAGGGTAAAGACAAAGTTAACACCAGCCGTACCAGCAGCAATCCAGATAGCCGTCGTTTCATCCCGTATGCCTGTCATCTTTACTATACTGGCACTGTAGTACCTATAATAATTGAAATATTTTCTTCTCTGAATTTTTTTCATTTCAAATAAATACTGATATATTTTACATACCCTCTCTCACAATGCTCTGATATACTAACAAGGTATGCAGAATAAAACGTCATTATGAGGCAGAAAAGGACATGCTGACCACACTTGTGACATTGCAATTTCTAATGTACATATCTATTTTTGAAATAATTTTTAAAATTCTAAATTCTAATGCTTGCCTCTGAAAGCGATTCAAGGCAGGTCATTGGGCTAAATCTACTGCTTATTATCAAAACCAAGACACCAGGGTATGTGTGACTATATTGACTCTTTGGTTCTGTAGAAGAAGTTGTCGGAAGTGTCTTTCTTTTTATTGAACCCTGATCTAAAATATTTGTTTGTATGTTTGTTTAGTTTATTATCCAATAAATAGCCAGATTCATTTTGAGTAGCAAATGTCTTATTGTAGCTGGAGTTGTAACTTAACTGAACATACAATGGGAGGCCCGTCATATCTCAGCACTTCAAGCTATAAAATGTCTTAACCACAACTGCATATGATAGTTCATGATCTACCAAAACTTCCAAAGAAATGCAAGCAGACTGGAGAAGGGATAAAAACTAGAAAATGTCTGTAAGACATTATGTAGAAATAAGATGATGTTCCTCTTTTTTGAGTTATCTCCCCCTGGTGGCCATCTTTTTTTAGAATGCCGAGAAATTCAACACTGCAAGAGGTCTTTCCATACTTGATATTTGTATGAAGTTTCATGAAAATTACCTTCCGAATGAAGTTGTTAGGTGGTATATACTGATTTGGGACGGGACGCGACGGGACGAGACGGGACGGGACGGGACGGGACGGACATGGGCAACGCTATATGCCCCCCGCCATTATTGCCGGGGGCATAAAAACAAGCTGCAGATCTTCACATAAGGTTGTATCGGTCATGAACAAACAATAAAAACAGGATAAAATCTTAGGGTGTCTCTGTTTACACCTACATAACAGTGTTGATTCCACTTAGTTGCTGAAACAACTGTAAACCACAGCCAACTATGACAGCCTTACGTACAGCACGATTCTTGAATATCTTCACCAAAACAAACTGATCTCCTGTAAGAGAATAGGCTCTGCGTGTGTTTCATTTCATAAAACAAAATCATTTACAATAACAAAAACGAATCATTCAACAGAGATTTTATCAGTAAATAAGCAGGCTATAAGTCAAAGTCACTACGATAAAAAATGAAAAAAAATGCCAAAAAGAGGAAAAAGAAAACCCTAAAAAAAAAGAAAAAAAAACATGAAAAAACAAAAACAAAAAACAAGAAACAAAAAAACATTTGAATATGATAAAAACATATTTAATTATTTTATTTAATTAGCAACATGCATGAGTAATGCAACCAAACACAACAATAAAGACAACTTTCTGACCTGTTAATTCCTTACAATATAGAAATCATATTACCATGAACACGACCAACTTCCTCATCCTGTTCACAGCTTTGCTGAATAGACTTAATCTCCCGTTCCACATTTTGACTTCCCCGGATAAACTGGAGAACTTTTGTGGCATCCTGTATTCTCTTTTTCTTGACAAGCCATCTCGGACTCTCAGGGAGAAACAGGAATCCGATAAACTGTATCGCAGATGGAATCCCTGCCAATCCAAGCATCCATCTACAAAATATAACGGGAGATTTTTGATAAATGTAGTTACTTAAAAACCTAAACTTATTGATAACTTGAGAGCTTAACCGGACATGGCTTCACTCTTTTGTTTTGTGACTGGGTATGCACATTGCCATATAAAGAATTATCACATGATTTCTTTGTCATTCAGAGTTTGGAACCAATGACAGGATGCTGAGAACCTTGTGGTATGCAAGGCAGTGTATAAAAGAAAGTCCCCAATACATCCCAGCAGGTTTCTTGTATTTAATTTGTTACATTATGGCTGTTGACCAGTTTGGTAACGTGGGTGATGCTTCATCAGAACCGTTTATACAGTGAGCTGTTCAGCTTAAAGCTTATAGCAGACCTTAAAATTCACTTCTTCTATTGTTCTATTTATAGCACTTATTTTTCATCTATTTTTAACCTACCTTGTAAGTACTGCTTTACTGTCACACATGTTGTTTTTTTTTTAAAAGGAGTGGGGGGGGGCTTAATTGCCAATACCCCTCTATTCCTGGCAAATTGGAAAAGTGGTGGGGGGCTTATTTGCAGGAAGGGGCTTATTTGCGGTGAAATATGGTATTTAAGTGCCTCATCTTAACTTTAAGCTCAATATTTCATTGTCTGATCTAATGAAGCATCCTCCACAATAAAAGACCTAGTTATTCAGTAGATACACCCAGGTCACATTTCACATATAATACACGTGTCATATACCTTACTGAGACATTGCTTTAGATAAAGTCACACATAAACAGCTGACAATGTGGCAATATAATGGAAACCATAGACACAGAGAAAACATGGCTTCAAGTTTAACGTAAAAACTGATCACATGATAACAGGACCTTGAGAAATATTTCCATCTGACAGATGACTGATAAAACTCATCACAAATTTTTCATTCCAGCTCATGAAAGTCTTGTTAAAATAATAAAAAATTGTAGACTCACTTCATCAATCAACATATCACATGGACACCCATGGAAGATCCTGTAAATTCTAAATATCATTACGTGAAGCCATTTGAATGGAAAGGTAACGGAACACCAATGTCAATGGAGCAGAAAAAAGAGGTCACTGTGATCTATATTCGATAAATTTTCTAGTACTAAACAAATATCTAGTTTTCAGGACTGTTCAACTTTCCAATTGTAGAATTTCTTAAACAATATTTTAATACAATTGACCTGTGTGACCTTCAAAGAAGGTCAAGGACATTAATTTATTTGAACATGAATGGTGTTCTCAATTCCATAAGAATTATGCCACTGGTTTAATCAACTTTTTTATTTTTATTTTTTTATTTCCCAGATGTGGTCTATGAAATGGACATGACATGATATATGTATGATTAACAACAACGGCTATTAATAGTATAATGTTGTCACGTGAATATATGTCACATGATCATGTTTCTACTGATGACCTAACAGTCATATATACAGTGACACACAAGTAAAACAAGAGACCACTGTAGGAGTTTTCTATGTAAAAGTGCACTGGCCATAAGTCCAAGTGTTGTCTGTAGCTATCAGTCTGATTTAATATCTGATTCTATATATAGAATTATTTCAGAAGAAATCAGCAAAACATCCTAACTAGATAGGAAGATTTCAAAAATTAAAACACTCTGGCATATATCTGGTGCTGGGATGCTAGAGTCCTGGGTTCTGATGGCAAGGGAGGTTGGATAGGGTAGGGTGGTGATGACTGGGGAGGTTGGGTAGGGTGGGGTGGTGTGATGGATGGGGAGGTTTCCTAGGGTGGGATGGTGTGATGGATAGGGAGGTTGGCTAGGGTGGGTTGGTGTGATGGATGAGGAGGTTGGCTGGGATGGGGTAGTGTGATGGATGGGGAGATTGGATAGGGTGGGGTGGTGTGATGGATGGGGAGGTTGACTAGGGTGGGGTGGTGTAATGGATGGGGAGGTTGGATAGGGTGGTGTGGTGTGATGGGGAGGTTGACTGGGGTGGGGTGGTGTGATGGATGGGGATGTTGGCTGGGGTGGTGTGATGGATGGGGAGGTTGACTGGGGTGGGGTGGTGTGATGGATGGGGAGGTTTTTCTGGGGTGGGTGGTGTGATGGATGGGGAGGTTGGCTAAGGTGGGGTGGTGTAATGGATGGGGAGGTTGGATAGGGTGGTGTGGTGTGATGGGGAGTTTGACTGGGGTGGGGTGGTGTGATGGATGGGGAGGTTGGCTGGGGTGGGGTGGTGTGATGGATGGGGAGGTTGACTAGGGTGGGGTGGTGTGATGAATGGGGAGGTTGACTGGGGTGGGTGGTGTGATGGATGGGGATGTTGGCTGGGGTGGTGTGATGGATGGGGAGGTTGACTGGGGTGGGGTGGTGTGATGGATGGGGAGGTTGGCTGGGGTGGGTGGTGTGATGGATGGGGAGGTTGGCTAAGGTGGGGTGGTGTAATGGATGGGGAGATTGGATAGGGTGGTGTGGTGTGATGGGGAGGTTGACTGGGGTGGGTTGGTGTGATGGATGAGGAGACTGGCTGGGGTGGGGTGGTGTGATGGATGGGTAGCTTGGCTAGGGTGGGGTGGTGTGATGACAGGGAGGTTGACTGGGGTGGGGTGGTGTGATGGATGGGGAGGTTGGCTGAGGTGAGACAGTGTGGTGTGATGGTCAGGGAGGTTGGCTGAGGTGAGACAGTGTGGTGTGATGGTCAGGGAGGTTGGCTGAGGTGAGACAGTGTGGTGTGATGGATGGGGAGGTTGGCTAGTTTAGGGTGGTGTGATGGTCAGGGAGGTTGGCTGAGGTGAGACAGTGTGGTGTGATGGTCAGAGAGGTTGGCTGAGGTGAGACAGTGTGGTGTGATGGATGGGGAGGTTTGTTGGAAAGAAAAGTACAATCGACTCTCAGCTGCCCTTTTCCTCATTAATATAGACTATGGTGAACCACATCAATCTGAACTTCGATAATCCACATCAATCTGGACTTCGATAATCCACATCAATCTGGACTTCCATAATCCACATCTATCTGGACTTTGATAATGTACATTTAAATGAAGTTTGATGATCCACCTTATTCTTGACAGTGATAATCCACATCTATCTGGACTTTGATAATGTACATTTAAATGAAGTTTGATGATCCACCTTATTCTTGACAGTGATAATCCACATCAATCTGGACTTTGATAATGTACATTTAAATGAAGTTTGATGATCCACCTTATTCTTGACAGTGATAATCCACATCAATCTGGACTTTGATAATGTACATTTAAATGAAGTTTGATGATCCACCTTATTCTTGACAGTGATAATCCACATCAATCTGGACTTCCATAATCCACATCTATCTGGACTTTGATAATGTACATTTAAATGAAGTTTGATGATCCACCTTATTCTTGACAGTGATAATCCACATCTATCTGGACTTTGATAATGTACATTTAAATGAAGTTTGATGATCCACCTTATTCTTGACAGTGATAATCCACATCAATCTGGACTTTGATAATGTACATTTAAATGAAGTTTGATGATCCACCTTATTCTTGACAGTGATAATCCACATCAATCTGGACTTTGATAATGTACATTTAAATGAAGTTTGATGATCCACCTTATTCTTGACAGTGATAATCCACATCAATCTGGACTTCCATAATCCACATCAATCTGGACTTTGATAATGTACATTTAAATGAAGTTTGATGATCCACCTTATTCTTGACAGTGATAATCCACATCAATCTGGACTTTGATAATGTACATTTAAATGAAGTTTGATGATCCACCTTATTCTTGACAGTGATAATCCACATTAATCTTGACAGTGATAATCCACATCAACATTAACATTCTTCCAACCTTTTATTTTTTCAAACAAACACATGTTACTCAACAATTAAATGTAAAATATCCCAGTGACTTTATGATAAAATACTGCTCAAGCATAAAACATTCTGCTACCAGGAATTATCATAAAAACAAGTCTTATGAGCGTTTTCCTACCTCCAGCCATTGGTCTTGTCATAACTGAATCCACCATCAACAACACTAGCTATGAACTGGCCGCCAGTAATAAATAGATTGTTCAATGTTACCAACCGTCCCCTCATCTGAGGTGGAGCGCATTCTGCGATATAAATCGGTACAGTCATGGAGGCTAAACCTGCAAATTTGAAAAAAGAAAAAAAAATGGAAATAAAGAAATACTAATTTTACTTATTGATTTTCTTGAACATTTGCATATTACTGAGAAATAAATCTCATACAATAATATATATTTGGCCTTCTATGTGAATGAAGTCTTTTATTTTAACAAACAGGTCAATTACTAGAGACTGTACAATTTGTTGTTAATTTCACTTGCTCCATGTTTTCTTTTATATTCCAGTTATGAATAATAACAGAATAATGGTGTGTTGGTATATCTTCAGGTTGGTAATGTCAATAGAAGTTCTTATAACAAAACCAGTAGAAAATTGGTCAATTCTGCTCTTGTACACTACGTATGTCACTGATATTAGGCACCACACTAGTCATTTGTCTGATGAAGGTGACAGTGTAGTCATTGAAACGTCACTCTCAATCTTCTACTGGTTGTGTTATCAGATGTAGGCGACTGTGTAGTCATTGTCACACTAATCTTCTACTGGTTGTGTTATAAGATGAAGGCGACCATGTAGTCATCGTCACACTCTAATCTTCTACTGGTTGTGTTATAAGATGAAGGCGACCATGTAGTCATCATCACACTCTAATCTTCTACTGGTTGTGTTATAAGATGAAGGCGACCATGTAGTCATTGTCACACTCTAATCTTCTACTGGTTGTGTTATAAGATGAAGGCGACCATGTAGACATAGGAACGTCACACTCTAATCTTCTACTGGTTGTGTTATAAGATGAAGGCGACCATGTAGTCATCGTCACACTCTAATCTTCTACTGGTTGTGTTATAAGAACTTTTATTCTAATAGTGTGTTGAGCTGTTTATGCTTTTCTTTATTTACAAAATCTCAGTGCACAGACTTTCGAAAATATTTAAACAATCATCAACATTATTAGATATGATACATAGTGGATGTCGTTGATGAAGATGAAGATGCTTACACTTCCAGAACACCTGGTCTTACTCTATTGTTTAGTTTCAGAAGTCTCTTTGTCAATCATTGTTTTGTTCATATTTATCAGATTTAATTCAAACTTAAGATTCTGTTAAGACATGTCAGTATTTCTTTGTTGTCATCATTATCATCATTAAAAAAATCTTTGTTGTACACTTGGGGTCAAGTTGACATTTTCATACCAGTACATATGTATCTATCACTGTGTGTTATTTTGGGAGTTGGAGTAGATTGAATGAACATCAAGATAACTTTAATAACGATGTTTTTTTTGGTTTTTTTTTTAAATAAAATTTTGCGAAAATGTATGGTTATTTGGTGGAAGCCAGAGATTGCAGCTCCAGCCTCTGGCCTGATATTAAGTACAATCTGCCTGAAAGCTATCAGATAAGATACACAATTCTTGGCTACCTAGATACAGTGTATTCAAACTTATATCTAACAGCTAGTAAATAATCTATTTCCTTTAACGTACACAAATCCTCTGATATATCAGGCTTGATAATATTACATTATAAGGTTACTAAGAAACAAACCTCCAACATATTGGTGAGAGGGGTCGCATCAGTGACATCTAGAAACGGGATCAAACTATCAATAAACATTTCCTTCAGTCTTTCTACAGCTAAACTTTGAAAACATATTGGTAATTTTAAGCCAGCTTTATCTAAATAAATGACATTAAAATAAATCAACATTTACCCATACAATGTAAATACTTTACCCATTCTTGTAATCACCGTATTTATACCTGGACGTTGTAAAAACTTTTATTACATGTACCTACTAAACTTACACATCTAAAACTCGACAAAAAATTATTACCTCAGAGTACTGTAACAAAGCTTCCCACCATTTATGTCACTTTAGAACCCATGTAAATTTGATGAATATGAAATCCCTTTCAATAAATAATGCTCTCAATATATCTGGTCACATTTGGATATTTTTAGAGATCCATTGAACATATCTAAGGCTGTCTTTTTACAATGTACATAGAAAACATAATTTGTCTATCTGTTTGTTGCTGCAGCCGACACATTTCTGACAAGAAGAAGGAGTTTTGTAAATTTGACTTTATTCCACCTACTGGGCACTACCTGGTGAAGCGTTGACCACACTGGATATTGCTTAACTTTGGTACACAGACACGAGAGAAAGGCCGATGATCGGATGTAGATAATTCATTAATGTTTTACCTCATCTGATGTGATGATTGATAACTCTGCAAATTCAAAGTGAATAAAACCCAGTGATGAAATCATCTTAGATATTAATTCTATAAGGCCCCAAATGGCTGCATACAAAGTTCCATTAAAACCAGCTTACATTTACTCAAGTTATTGTGTATATAAATTCCATGGTAATAAAAGTGCAAAGGGCTATAACTCTGTAAATTACATTCAAATAAATCCTAATCTAAGATCTTGATACTATGTTGCTGCATACCACATTTCATCAAAATCTGTTCATATTTACTCAAGTTATTATATTCACAAGGTTCGATAGGAATAAAACTGCAATGGGCAATAACTCTATTACTTACAATCAAAATTAAGTTTTCATCATAATCAAGTTTACTTCAGTCATTGGTATCACAAAGTCCACTGGTAATTACAATTTAAGGGTCATAACTCCCTACAATCGAATCTGAGTTCCATTGTCAAACAACTTTGAGATCTTACTGATATAAGGCTGCTTAGCAAGTGTCATCAAAATCGGTTTATGTTTACTGAAGTTATTGTGTTCACATGAAAAAGTAAATGCACAATGCAAGGTGACGGCCAAAGCATGATGGCTACAGGACACCATGACTTATGGTCAGGTGACTAAATCACATGATTAAACTGAAGGACAAACAAATCACACTGGATAAACTTACCAGTCCTGTGGATCAGATGCAAAAATGCTTAAAAAACTTCTGATGACCAGAAAGATTGTGCCATACAAGATATTTATTAGTTATTTTTTCTGCTGCAGTTTTCCAAATCTCTTATAGAAAAAAAAGGTTAAAGAGATACAAAATGTAGAGGTTTCAATAGTCAAATGAACGATATTTCAAGCATACATTACTGTAAAATTGATTCTGTTGGTCTATGAATTTCTATGTCCACAATTTGTTAAAATCAAAATACGGTTGATTCACTGAGTGATATTATTCACCACAAAATCAAGTGCCCCTGAAGTAAATTTATTTTAAAACCACAAAAATCGAGCCACCTTGTTGTCAAATCATATAATAGTAAGTATTAGATTTTCAAAGTCGTGTGGTTTAGTTTAGTTAGTAAGCTTCTGGATACAAAAATACAAACTTTTTAACAGAAGTAAAAAGTCTCAGAAAGTTATAAATGCCTTTTTAACCATACTTTTTTTAAAAAAAACAAAGAGGTGAAGAAGCCCAATGCCCTGTGGGTGGTACTGGTTGGTTGATGTGTCAGTAGAGGAATCCTAGGTGGATACTGGAGTATTCTACTAGAACTCCACAGACAAAAGGTTGACATGTTTTGGTTGGCTAGGCTAACCGTCTTCAGAACATGTCAACGAAAAAAATCTAAGTTACGGTATCCCTGGTGTTGATGCTCCATCCTTTATCTGCTTCATACCGTCTTAAAGTTGAATTACATCAATGCTTAATAAACAGAAATCAAGGAGCCAAACAATCAGACAGTGTTTAGTGTCTCTTAAAATATAATTTAGGTTGTACTATGGCTGAAATATACCTACATGAAATGAGCTTCTTTGTTTCACTAATGTTCAGATTAGTTTTAAAGTTGATATAACACAATGAAAAAGTCAGCAGCTGGAAAGCTATGTAAAGCACACAATCAGTTTCCTCTCACTCCAAGGAAAAAAACATTGCAACAGATATGCAACTAGGCATGTGATGTCAGAACTCACGCTATCAAGGGACTGGATTTATATCTAAAGATGTGCTAAAGGCCTCACATTTATTTCAAATATTGCCCCGACACCTTAGGCTAGCATTGATGACTCAAACATATTTATCTGATGAGGATGGCTTGGTTTCAAACTGTTTAATATCCTTCAAACAGCCTTGTACGTAAGGTGAGTACATGTGTGTTGAGTGGGTGTGTCTTTGGGAGGCTTCAATTTGTTTGTGTGATGATGCAGAAGTAATGGCAACTTTATAGTGTTATCACACTGAAGTATGCCGCAGAATTAAGGCACCCAGCAGAATACCCCACCCAGTCTCATTATACAGGCTAACCAGTAGTTACAGCTAGCAAAATGCTGAACATAAAGCAGGAATCAAATACAAAAACCCCTAATATAATCATCATTTGGAAATTTTTTGTAATTCAGAAAAATGATGGGAAAAATTCCACTGGTTATTATGCAAAAATAACGCTACAAAATATATTAGTGCAGTGATATCTATAAAGAAAAGCTTGGTGGCAAAATCAAAACAAATATCAAAATAATAAAAGTGGGTCCCTCTAAAAATACAAATCGATGTTGCACAAAGTTCCAAAGTTCACCCAAAAAAACAAAAAAAAATCTGTGATCAATATACAATCTGCATATTGACATAAACAAACAAAATTCTTTTCTCTTGTTTTTTAGTGACAGTTATGTGTATCACGGCTTTAAGTCTCTGCCAGGGAGACAGAACACAATATGGCAGAAAAGACAAAAATGTTGTCTATATACTGACTGTCTTCATCTGTTGAATATTTGAATACAGAATATTATGAAAATGTTCATCAGTGATATAAAATCTAGCTGGGTAATTGTAGGACAGATGTTTGGGGAAAGGCAGCTACAGGAATTTTTCAAACTCTGCCTGTCTGTGTGTGTACTGCGCACCTTATACTTAACAGTCATACAAAAATCAACTATTTACGTAGAACTAATATGCTTTTGGGAAAAATATCAATAAATTATGTTTTTACCTATTCCTATACCCAGTATACTTCTTCCAATGACAAGCATGGCAATGTTTTTAGCAAATCCTAAAATGACTGCTCCTCCTGTGAATACAGCACTGGCACATATAGTCGTAAATTTTCTTCCAAGAAAGTCATTCATGAATCCACCGACTAAAGCAAAAATGGCAGCGAAGAGGATAGTAGCACTCACAATGATTTCTTCATAAAGAGAAGTCAAATTGAACCTTTCTTTCAGCAGTAACATCGCACCCGAGACCACACCGGTATCATATCCAAATAAAAAGCCACCAATAGCGGCGAAAAATGACAGTACGTAGAGAAAACCCGATGTCTTCGTCTCCTCTGGTTCGCGGACATCTGCGTTTGTTGACGTTCCCTCGAACACAACTTCATTTTCACTATCCAAGTATTTAACGCTTCGGTCTGCCATACCTGACGCACTGTCCAACAGTAGCGACGTTTCTCGACTGTCGGACATCTCGAAGTCCTCAGAGTCTATATCGCCGTTATCAGTTAAGCTCATGACCCAATTTAAGTGTTTACATTACAAGTTGGCGAACGTAAGGTGCCCTATTTATCAACTTCCGGTTTATGTATCGTAGTTATGTTCAAGCTAAGAGGGGAGGTAACTATGATTAACTGATAAAATGAAAGTAGGTTCATATATTTTTTTTTAATGAATTCGTAGTTTATATTTAATTGTTCACAGTCATATGATAATTCTGATTAATTTAACCATAAGCATACCGTGAAAAAAACACGAGTGTCATCGTTTGAAGTGTTCAAACAGATATTTTCAAAGTGAAAGCGAAAGTAGAGAGGCTGGAGTAAGGGACAAGGAATTTGGAGTTCGTAATTGGAGATGTCTGCACGCATGACAAATTCTACATCAGATTTAAAATCAGCTATAATCATATGGTTCCCAAACATATTTAACACCGAAGGGGGAGAAGTCTGCCGACTATATCATGAGAAAAAAATTAAGTTCAAAATTCAGTTACCTCATTGCATAGACGTTTGCTAAGAATTAGGGTGGTAGCGTTGTTTTTTCGACTGATCTCAAAATGTAGATAAGTAATCTTTTCAAAATAAAGAGTTGTAGACGGTGTAATAATTTTCAAATTGATTTTATTCACTTTTGAGACAAATGATTTCTTTCAACTTTTGATATTTACAAGACAATATGCATGTTAAGCTATTTACAACTGAGATACCACCCTACACTGTACACCACTTTCAGCCCAAAACCACCCTACAATGTACAGCACTTTCAGTCCAAAATGTTAAGAAAATCATCTTTAGATAGACAGCATTTAAAATTATGAGTAATTTCCAATAGACTCATGTCACTTTTGTGATTTGTCATTAGAATTATGGTCTCTAGGTGAACACTGATAGTCGACTAGAGAAATTCTCACTAGTCAAGACTGGTAAGGCAACTTGTTCTCTCAACTTCTACACAAGTCTGGTGGATAAGAGTTCCTGGACAGCTATATACTTGTGGTAAATATATGTGTGAATCAGCTATAGTGTGTATTTTAATTTTTTCATTTTGTGAATTTATTTTCAAAAAACTTTAAATTTGTAAATTGAAAAATGTAGTGAAAAAATTATATTATTGTGGAACTACTTTCTGTTTACTTCAAGTAGTTGACAAACATTCCCAATGATCTATTATTGTTATTGTTAAGTAATTGATTTGTTTGAAAAAAAGCTTGTGAATATATTTTTCAAAAATAAAGGCCCTATGGCTTTTGATGTAGCTGATGACTGGCTTACAACATGGGCATCAGGTTCTGTCAACAACATATTTAGTTTTAATGGCCAATGTGTCATAATGTCTAGGACTTTTTTTATTGATATAATCTTGGTATGTGTTGTAATCCTTAATTAATATGTTATTTCTCATTATTTTTTATTTAGTATTTACTATTTAACATCTACAGAAACTATCAGATAGTTCAACAATCAGCTGTTTTGCAATCAGTTGTCGGTCAATACTATCAGTGTTTACAACGTACCTGGTATTATTTTTTTTACTCAGTAGGATAGAAAAAAAAGGAAAGAGGAAAAAGAAAAAAATACGCAAATGTAAACAAGTTTTTCTTGTTTTTGGGTGTGTGTGGGTGGGGGAGGGTTATTTTTTTTGCTTTGTTTTTTTTTTTTTTTTTGTTTACTATTATGTAAACTTTATTTCTGGTTTTTTCTTTTTCTATAGGTGTTTCAACAATGACACAAATCAAATTGCTTTGGTTTTTTTGTTTTTTGTTTGTTTACTATTGTGTAAACTTTATTTCTGTTTATTTTTTCTTTTTCTATAGGTGTTTCAACAATGACACAAATCAAATGAATGATTTTAAGTATCTGGCAGCTGAATAAGTATCAATCAAACAAGTCATACAAAATAATAGGAAAACTAGATAAGAGACACAAGGAAAAGACAGGTTAAAGTAATTTTGGCAAGGATAACTAAAAACCAATAGCACCAAATCATGAAATTTCAGCAAGTCCTCACTGAGAAATCTCCATGTAATGTTTTATCCAGCTATTGAAGTCTATGCCTGATAATAAGTCTACTCGTGTATATATTTTGCTATTTCACAAATCATTAAGTAATTAGCCTAATAGTAGCCAATCTGCTTCCTTAATAACAAAACAAAAATAATGGCACCCTGGGTCTGTTGCAGACAAATTACAGTAATATTAATAAATTTTGTATCTAAAAATCAAAAGGGCTAGTTGGAAGTTATCATTCTCTTGATATTGGTTACAAAATTAAACATAGGGTCAAGAGATATACCATAATGGTATCAATCTTGTAACATTTCAGAAAATTGTACCAAGCATTTCTCAAAAGTAACAACAGCAAAATACAGTTATGTATTTAACTATCTGAATTCAAGACGGCCATCTTGAAACCATTTTCTTAAAATCCTTTTCAAACCTGGAAGGGTGTCTTCATGATGATAGAAAAATCTAAAAACAGTTTAATAAAACAGCTCATACAGAGGGCAACAAAAGACTCAAAATATAGAACTATTCAACAGAGCACTTTATTAATAGGTATATGTACCGCAATTTCCCCATTTGTAAGAACATTCAAAGTCATTTTTTTAAACGTTGATAAGAAGACAAAAAATATCTTCACAACGAATAAATGTTCCTATTTGTTTCTCAACAGTATGTAGAATTACAGGTAATATCACAGTTTAAATTTCTATTCTGGTACATAGGTCTTTCTATATACACTAACATACATGTACAAAACAGTCATACTGAAAGTTGTCAAAATGGAATAAGAAAAGAGAACAGCATTACAGATTACTTACACAAATATTCATTTCAATCGCTTCATTATGAGGATATGCCGTATCAAAATAGTATATATTAGAAATATTTGCCAGAATTTTTCAAGAAGTTTGAAATATGGTTGTGATTGAAAGTCTGACCCATTTTGAAAACTAAGATAACCAGATATGGCACACTGCAATCAATTGCTATGAAGTCATGAAAATGTTTCATAAAGGCATACCTAATTTTGACTCGTCGTAACAGAATTCCAGCGTTTATGTTCAAATTGTATCGCTAACACTTCAATTGCACAATACATTATCAATGACAAAACAAAAACAAAAAACACAAAAAAAACTTTTTTAGGTGAGTTCAGCAGAACATATTCAAACCACAAGTATGAGTTCAGGATTCAACCATCTGTGGCCAAGAAATCACTTTTCAAATCAAGACGAATGCATCAACAATCACTTGGTTTTTTTTTAAATCAATTGTTGAAATTAAATTAAAAAAAGGTTTTTCAGTTTCCTACCTTCATTTTTTTCTATAAAAAAAAAACCACATTTTTTTTCTTTCAAGCACACCTTATAAAGTATATCTGACTGCTTTATCCCACAAGTCAAGTCCAACACTATTAAGAATATACTTCTAACCACATTTATTTAAACTTAAATTAACATGAATATTCACTGGAAATATTAATATTCATCAGTCATCCCACCATGATCATGAATATTTAAAAAGATATGAATATTCATTAAAGATATCAATATTCATCAGCCATCCAAATATGGTAATGAATATTTAACAGGATATCAATGGTAACAGTTATATCCATGAAGATCATCATGAACGATCACAAGACATCTGTAGCAACACTTCTGTTCTGTATGAATTTTCTGAATAATTTCAACACAAAATCATCAACACTCAGCAGGACATCTATGTTAAAAGTTATATTCATGAGGAACTTCTCGGACTGGTCTTCATCATTACATCGTGTAAGTCATCAAGACTTACTCGTAAACAGTCAATGAATTCTCGTACATTTGTTGCTGGTGGGTAACTGGTGACGTTAAATCCAATTCTATTACTCTCAATGGAATATCCTGTAAATATAAAGACGATGTCATCAAAAAGTTTATATAAAAAAAATCAAATATTATTCCTCCAACAAGTTTTTTTCTTCTTTCATAAATTTGGGAATTACACAACTAAATATTTCTAAATTAATATATCACTTCCAGTACTTCTGAATGTTACAATCATCTTGAGAGACCAAAAAACGGATGATAAAATGTGTTACCAAAAAAAAAAAACCAATACTTATTGAACTGTATGAAGGTACATATTATATATACATATCTTACATTTCGGTTTTAGTATTCAGGTAAAAGAATTACCTGAAAAGTGCTATGGGACATTTAGATGGTGAGTGCCGCAATGCAACAGATTTAGGATTTGTTAAGTAGAAAATTTCATTGGAGAGTTGTAGCTTTATGAGCTGTATGTACATGTGTGCCGTCAACATCACAGGAATAAGTATATCAAAGTGATCTCCTCTTTAAGTATTGACAATATATTCTTTTCTGTATCTTTGTTTCTGGTGACTGGTTTCCCAACACCATGTTCAAAAGAATTTGAATCCATTAACAGAAACAACATCTAAGTAATTACTTATTTTTTCAATTTTGAGTGAAAAAAACCCAACACATTATACAAGGCTGCTTTCAAAAAGTGGTTAAAATAATTTGACCCACTGTAACTACAAGCAAAACATGATTAGGACACTGGATTGCGGAAATTTGGCATGTACAGTTTCGGCATGATACAAGGTCTATTGTACAGACATATTTCAGGAAATGTTATAACTGTGAGCTACCTAGTAAATGAAGAACATTTCCAACACTGGGAATAGGTGCATGTTTATTTTAGTTAAGTCCTGTTCTGCTTTAACCATTTCGACCAGAAAATGACCCAAGTCTTATGAATGACAAGTTATACACGAATACATTTTTTTTTTAATAACAAAAAATCAGAAGTTTCATACAGGATAACAGTTTAGGCTCTCCTGCCTCCAGTGAGTTTATGCCATGGTGTGGCATCCGATGTCCGTCATCAACTTTTTTCTTTAAACAACTTTTGATATTTGGCTGGTATGCCCCTAGGGTGAAGCCCAACAAAGTTTGCAAAAAGAAATGACCTTGACCTATATCTACTACACTAAAGTTTGCGTTAAATCATACAACCTACAGAACCTTTAAGTATTAAAAATTATATATCATATATTGTAATATATTTATTGTCATGAACGTGTTTTCAAATCTCAACATCTGAGAAAAGGGAGGAACATTGATGGCCATACTCACAGACAGCAGATAACACATACCTATACCAAATCCATCTGGGGTGACTGGGGCGAATCCTCCGATAACGACTGCTGGACTGGAGAGAGTAGAGGTAGAAAGGATGATGTGATTGATCTTCTGATAGTTTGGGTCTGTAAATATCTTATGAGGGAAAAAATTCTCTTCCTCAGCAAGTGTCCTTAGTGCAAAAAGGTGACGGTCAAATCCCTGCCCTGTGTAATATAATAAGGTTATGCAAAATGAATGATTATCCATTCGATGAAGACGACCATAAGGAGGAGGATTAGGAGGGAAAGGGCTATGAGGATAAGGACCCAGAGAGAGGAGAAGAGGAGGATCAGGACAAGGAAGAGGACAAGAAGGACCAAGATGACCAGGATACCAGGAGGAGGAGGATAGGGCAAGAAGGAAAAGGAAATCAGGAGATTTCTGATGATGGAATGGGAACCAGGAGGAGGACTAGCAGAGCAATCAGGAGAAGATGTAGGATGATTACAAGGATAAAGACAGAGATCAGACAGGGGAGGATGACAACTATCAGAAGGAAAAGAGAATGACAAGGACTAAGAGGAGAAAGACAAAGACAAGAAAAATGTACATGACAAAAAAAAAATTGTACAACATTGAGAACTAAGTTCTTTGGGAAGAGGATCATGAACAGGATTAGCAGGTGGAGGAGAAAGAGGAGGAGGTGGAGGAGCAAGAGGAGGAGGTGAAGGAGCAAGAGGAGGAGCAAGAGGAGGAGGTGAAGGAGCAAGAGGAGGTGGAGGAGCAAGAGGAGGAGGTAAAGGAGCAAGAGGAGGTGGAGGAGCAGGAGGAGCAAGAGGAGGAGGTGAAGGAGCAAGAGGAGGAGCAAGAGGAGGAGGTGAAGGAGCAAGAGGAGGTGAAGGAGCAAGAGGAGGAGGTGAAGGAGCAAGAGGAGGAGGTGAAGGAGCAAGAGGAGGAGCAAGAGGAGGAGGTGAAGGAGCAAGAGGAGGTGGAGGAGCAAGAGGAGGTGGAGGAGCAGGAGGAGGTGGAGGAGCAGGAGGAGGTGGAGGAGCAAGAGGGGGAGGTGAAGGAGCAAGAGGAGGAGCAAGAGGAGGAGGTGAAGGAGCAAGAGGAGGTGGAGGAGCAAGAGGAGGTGGAGGAGGTGGAGGAGCAGGAGGAGGTGGAGGAGCAAGAGGAGGTGAAGGAACAAGATGAGGTGGAGGAGCAAGAGGAGGAGGTGGAGGAGCAAGAGGAGGAGGTGAAGGAGCAAGAGGAGGTGGAGAAGGAGCAAGAGGAGGAGGTGAAGGAGCAGGAGGAGGAGCAAGAGGAGGTGGAGGAGGAGGTGGAGGAGCAAGAGGAGGAGGCGAAGGAGCAGGAGGAGGAGCAAGAGGAGGTGGAGGAGGAGGTGGAGGAGCAAGAGGAGGTGGAGGAGCAAGAGGAGGAGGTGAAGGAGCAGGAGGAGGAGGAGCAAGAGGAGGTGGAGGAGCAAGAGGAGGTGAAGGAACAAGATGAGGTGGAGGAGCAAGAGGAGGAGGAGGAGGAGAAGCAAGAGGAGGAGGTGAAGGAGCAAGAGGAGGTGGAGGAGGAGCAAGAGGAAGAGGTGAAGGAGCAAGAGGAGGAGGGGAAGGAACAAGAGGAGGTGGAGGAGCAAGAGGAGGAGGTGAAGGAACAAGAGGAGGTGGAGGAGCAAGAGGAGGAGGTGGAGGAGCAAGAGGAGGAGGTGAAGGAGCAAGAGGAGGAGGGGAAGGAACAAGAGGAGGAGGAGGAGCAAGAGGAAGAGGTGAAGGAGCAAGAGGAGGAGGGGAAGGAACAAGAGGAGGAGGAGGAGCAAGAGGAGGAGGTTGAGGAGCAAGAGGAGGAGGTTGAGGAGCAAGAAGAGAATGTTGAGGAGCAGCAAGAGAAGCAGGAGGAGGAGGAGGAGGACATACAAGAGGAGATGCAGGAGGTAAAAGAAAAAGGTGGAGAACTCCGAGGAAGAGGATGGCATCAAAAAGTGAAGGATCAAGACAAGGAGAAGGAACAGGTGGAAGCATACAAGAAAAAAAGAGAAAGAACAATAAGAGGAACACCCATATACAGGTTAATGAGATTGGATATTGGAACTAATCCATTACAAAGATTTTGAGGAAGAATCTATTTCCTATTGCTTTACAGCTATAAAAGAAACAAAATGATATTAAGGGATAATTTACCCATAGCAGCCTTCTTTGTGAGATCCCCATGTGTCCAAGAACAATCAACTAAAGCTTTGTAGAGGTCCATAGGGCTCTCCTTGTTGCCTCGATCAACAATCATCTCTGTAGCTTTCTTGGTAGCCATTGTAGCTGATCGCAAAGTCTCTGTGCGGCCATGTTTGTAGGCAGCTGTGCTGCAGGACTCATATGTGGCAACAAACTTCCTGTTTTGCCTGTAATATGCCATCTAAATGAAAGACAAGACTTCTGTTACTTATGCACTAGGTCAAGATTTTGATAACAAACATGCAATGTAATTTGTTGCCTTTAGGTAGTTGAAAATCAATTCTTTTTTAATGAAGACAAACCCCTGCCTGTATGTCAAGCTCTGTAAGAGAATACTGACTAATCCTCCATCAAAACAAGCCCCTACCTGTATGTCAAGCTCTGTAAGAGAATCTCAATTAATCTTCCATCAAAACAAGCCCCTGCCTGTATGTCAAGCTCTGTAAGAGAATCTCAATTAATCTTCCATCAAAACAAGCCCCTGCCTGTATGTCAAGCTCTGTAAGAGAATCTCAACTAATCTTCCATCAAAACAAGCCCCTGCCTGTATGTCAAGCTCTGTAAGAGAATCTCAATTAATCTTCCATCAAAACAAGCCCCTGCCTGTATGTCAAGCTCTGTAAGAGAATCTCAATTAATCTTCCATCAAAACAAGCCCCTGCCTGTATGTCAAGCTCTGTAAGAGAATCTCAACTAATCTTCCATCAAAACAAGCCCCTGCCTGTATGTCAAGCTCTGTAAGAGAATCTCAATTAATCTTCCATCAAAACAAGCCCCTGCCTGTATGTCAAGCTCTGTAAGAGAATCTCAATTAATCTTCCATCAAAACAAGCCCCTGCCTGTATGTCAAGCTCTGTAAGAGAATCTCAATTAATCTTCCATCAAAACAAGCCCCTGCCTGTACTCTGTAAGAGACATTTTAATCTTAATCAAAACAAGCCCCTAATAATTCAAGGATAAGAGAATTCTCAATTAATCTTCCATCAAAACAAGCCCCTGCCTGTATGTCAAGCTCTGTAAGAGAATCTCAATTAATCTTCCATCAAAACAAGCCCCTGCCTGTATGTCAAGCTCTGTAAGAGAAGATCAATTAATCTTCCATCAAAACAAGCCCCTGCCTGTATGTCAAGCTCTGTAAGAGAATCTCAATTAATCTTCCATCAAAACAAGCCCCTGCCTGTATGTCAAGCTCTGTAAGAGAATCTCAATAAAATCTTTCAAAACAAGCCCCTGCCTGTATGTCAAGCTCTGTAAGAGAATCTCAATTAATCTTCCATCAAAACAAACCCCTACCTGTATGTCAAGCTCTGTAAGAGAATCTCAATTAATCTTCCATCAAAACAAACCCCTACCTGTATGTCAAGCTCTTTATGAGAGTCTGGACTAATCTTCCATCAAAACAAACCCCTACCTGTATGTCAAGCTCTTTATGAGAGTCTGGACTAATCTTCCATCAAAACAAACCCCTACCTGTATGTCAAGCTCTTTATGAGAGTCTGGACTAATCCTCCATCAAAACAAACCCCTGCCTGTATGTCAAGCTCTGTAAGAGAATCTCAATTAATCTTCCATCAAAACAAGCCCTTGCCTGTATGTCAAGCTCTGTAAGAGAATCTCAATTAATCTTCCATCAAAACAAACCCCTACCTGTATGTCAAGCTCTTTATGAGAGTCTGGACTAATCTTCCATCAAAACAAACCCCTACCTGTATGTCAAGCTCTTTATGAGAGTCTGGACTAATCCTCCATCAAAACAAACCCCTACCTGTATGGCAAGCTGCATGAGGGAGTCTGGACTAATCTTCTTAGCTTTGACAAAGTCCTTGGTGTAGGTGTCATACTCCAGATGGTGTAGGTCAAGTGATCCAATAAGAGCATCAAAGTTAGCCTTGGCATTCTGGACCCCTTCCTTAAGTGTTGTGTCAAGCTCAAACTCTTAAACACAGTGGGACACAGACATTTTTTTAATAAATAAATAATAATTTAGGATATGAGTATATTGATGTAATGTTATAATGTGGTTACTGTAAATATTTTTGTGGATTTATTGTTATTGAATTTGTGGATAAATGCCCTAATTTACAGATCCATGAAATAATAAACAGATCAATGTAGATTATAACACTAGCAGGTTTGGTGGGCAAAATTTCACCAAGTGCCAACGAAAATGGATAAATTCGGGAAACCAATAAAATTTGATTTTACAGTAAGGGAGCTTTATTTGGATTAAGTCACAATAAATGTTTACAACATAAACTGTGCTGATTTAATGACCTAACAACAATAGATTTCCCAACAGACAATTTATTATCACAAATTATGATAATATGATATAGATATCTAAAATGTGTCAGTGTGATTGCCCTGTTATCGGCCATTTTCCCTACTATGAATACAGGTTACATTTATATGTACAGGCACATTGATTCCTCTTGGTGCACAGACAACTTAAATTCTGATCAAACGCTATAAGCTCAGAGATAAGTGCTTAAATTCTGATTCAACCAAATAACTCCACGGACGAACATTTCAGTGCTGACTCAACACAATAAGGCCAGGGACAAGTACTCCCATTATGATTCAACACAATAAGGCCAGGGACAAGTACACCCATTATGATTCAACACAATAAGGCCAGTGACAAGTACTCCCATCATGATTCAACACAATAAGGCCAGTGACAAGTACTCCCATTATGATTCAACACAATAAGGCCAGGGACAAGTACTCCCATTATGATTCAACACAATAAGGCCAGGGACAAGTACTCCCATTATGATTCAACACAATAAGGCCAGAAACAAGTACTCCCATTATGATTCAACACAACAAGGTCAGAAACAAGTACTCCCATTATGATTCAAAACAATAAGGCCAGGGACAAGTACTCCCATTATGATTCAACACAATAAGGCCAGGGACAAGTACTCCCGTTATGATTCAACACAATAAGGCCAGGGACAAGTACTTCCATTATGATTCAACACAATAAGGCCAGGGACAAGTACTCCCGTTATGATTCAACACAATAAGGCCAGGGACAAGTACTCCCGTTATGATTCAATACAATAAGGCCAGGGACAAGTACTCCAATTATAATCATTTGAAGTCCATGAACAAATAATTATGACTTAAAGCAATAAGTCAGAGGACAAACACTTCTAAAGATCTGACTCAAGTTAATACAGTGACAAAACCACAAGTGTATTGGGTTTACTGTCCTGAGAACTGCCAGGATCATCCAGATGTGGGATTTCCTTATAATTTCTGGTGGCTCCGTCACTGTACAACACACAGGAGGCCTACTGCCTGTCATCCTCAGCAGTTTGGGTAAAGCGCCTTGCCTGAGGACAACCATTGCAGCACAGACCAGCCTGTTTCTCAGCTCCCCAAAAAACACAAACCACCATGGGGTAGGGAGCCTCTGACTCCTGTGGGGCTGATTCAAAGCTATAATTTTCGGGACAAATACTTAGGCTTTAACACAGAGCAATATTCTCTTGTCTCAAAGAAAAGCATGGGCTGACTGTAAGATACTGCTATACAACATTTGTAAGTATTTATAATGAAACTATAACTAAAAATCATGGAATTATTACCTTTTATGGGCACTGTTTATTTCCTTATCGATATGCTATAATATATCAATTATAGAAGTGATGTAATCGATAACAGTCACAAACACAGATACAATCACAGACTTCTTACCAAGTCTCTGTACAGCACCATCAGAACCAGCATCTGGGATCGGAGTTGAAGGATGTACGAATGGGTTTTCTGTAGAATCCTTGAAGACTTCATTAAAATATCGCATCACTGCGACACCATCTCCCCAGGCATGCTCAAAATTTACACAAGCCCTAGAGTCTGGGGTCATAATCAAACTGAAGCTCTTGTCAAACCACCTTATCAAAAGAATTAATATCAAAAATTAATGTTGGATCAAATTTGCACATTAGATCGTGTCAAAAATGAGTAAAATACACCATCTCCAAGGATTTCTGATGTTGACACAGATGTCTGTCTATCCAAAACAGATACAAAACTTTCAATATCATCCAAATTCTATAACCAGTGTGTTTGGAATTTATCACATACTTTAAAATCATTCATTTTTGTGAGGGATTAATTTTCACTGATTTCAAACATTCTCTTTCAGAAATGACAAAAGGACTATTAATCAATATTCTACATTAATCACAGTGACATCTATAGTTTTCTGGGATTTTTTCAATGATGGAATGAACATAAGAGGATATCATGGCCATGCCGATTCAAGGCTACTTCAGTAAAACGTGTATAACCTGTTCATGCCATCGCCATGAAGGAACCGTCTTGTGACATCGTTAGGTTCGACCGAGTTCTCGTCATCCAAACATAAGGCAAATAAGGCAGTGTCAATTTTGTTCAGGGCAGCACCATTACCTTGACACAGAGTGAAAAAGTAATTTTCAAAACAAACAAAAAATTCATTAATAAAACAAAAATTCCAATATGAAAATATGAAAGGAAAACAATGGAGTAAAGAGGATTACTAGTTATAAATATTATCATAAAAAATTTCTAAATCAAATATCGTAGAAAATTTCTAAATTAAATATTGTAAGAAAATATTCTCGTTAAACTTTAATTAGACAACAGCTGTATTGTAAAACAAATAGGATTTTCTAAAAAATTCAATAATAATTTCAAAATGACTGATGTTTATTTGATTCCTTATGAACACAACTGACCAGTGGCTAGTAGTTGTTCACGGTAAGCTGCCCATTTGTCACGGTTCTCGGCTGTGAAGTAGCCAATAGGGAACTCGGGAGGAGGACGATTATCTTGAAGAATATATTGGATGTGAGCCATTATCTTATCCGGGCTCTTGATATGATCTAGAAACACAAGATAAATATATCTTAATACTGGAAGTAATGTCAGATTGATGAAATAGACCTAATAGGCTCATTCTAGAAATTTACACTTACTTCAATATAATAACCAACACACTCACCTTCATCATTCAATACATCAAACACATAAAAGTGACCATTTCTTATCACCAACATGTGTCTGGCATCTGGAACTGTTAGGAACTCATCTTTACCCTCTCTGCAATGTTTATAAAATAGTTTCTTTTAAACTTTAATACGTCTGTATGCTCTATAAATATATTTAAGGTTAACAATTTTGTACACTCTATAAATATATTTCAGGTTAACAATTTTGTACACTCTATAAATATATTTAAGGTTAACAATTTTGTACACTCTATAAATATATTTAAGGTTAACAATTTTGTACACTCTATAAATATATTTAAGGTTAACAATTTTGGACACTCTATAAATATATTTAAGGTTAACAATTTTGTGCACTCTATAAATATATTTAAGGCTAACAATTTTGTACACTCTATAAATATATTTAAGGTTAACAATTTTGTACACTCTATAAATATATTTAAGGTTAACAATTTTGTACACTCTATAAATATATTTCAGGTTAACAATTTTGTACACTCTATAAATATATTTAAGGTTAACAATTTTGTACACTCTATAAATATATTTCAGGTTAACATTCCTTACTGTATAGTTGGTAATATTGGTGGGGGATCTAATTTCACTATATTTCTGGTTATCAGTGACAATGAAACATTATCTACCCTAACATCACTGAACAGAGAATTAATATATAAAGAAATGTGTGTTACATGCCTTCGTACATGGCTAGCAATGTATTGACAAGAACGAAATTACTTTGAATAAGCCGGAACTGGGACAACCACTTAACATCAACCCCCCAAATCATACAACTAAACATTACAGTCAGACATAAACTCCTCAGATAATCAGTGTGGTTATCTGTACAAAATTATAGACAACAGTCAGACTCCTCAGATAATCAATGTGGTTATCTGTACAAAATTATAGACATTACAGTCAGACTCCTCAGATAATCAATGTGGTTATCTGTACAAAATTATAGACAACAGTCAGACTCCTCAGATAATCAATGTGGTTATCTGTACAAAATTATAGACAACAGTCAGACATAAACTCCTCAGATAATCAGTGTGGTTATCTGTACAAAATTATAGACAACAGTCAGACTCCTCAGATAATCAATGTGGTTATCTGTACAAAATTATAGACAACAGTCAGACTCCTCAGATAATCAATGTGGTTATCTGTACAAAATTATAGACAACAGTCAGACATAAACTCCTCAGATAATCAGTGTGGTTATCTGTACAAAATTATAGACAACAGTCAGACATAAACTCCTCAGATAATCAATGTGGTTATCTGTACAAAATTATAGACATTTACAGTCAGACATAAACTCCTCAGATAATCAATGTGGTTATCTGTACAAAATTATAGACAACAGTCAGACTCCTCAGATAATCAATGTGGTTATCTGTACAAAATTATAGACAACAGTCAGACATAAACTCCTCAGATAATCAGTGTGGTTATCTGTACAAAATTATAGACAACAGTCAGACTCCTCAGATAATCAATGTGGTTATCTGTACAAAATTATAGACAACAGTCAGACATAAACTCCTCAGATAATCAGTGTGGTTATCTGTACAAAATTATAGACATTACAGTCAGACTCCTCAGATAATCAGTGTGGTTATCTGTACAAAATTATAGACATTACAGTCAGACACAAACTCCTCAGATAATCAATGTGGTTATCTGTACAAAATTATAGACATTACAGTCAGACACAAACTCCTCAGATAATCAATGTGGTTATCTGTACAAAATTATAGACATTACAGTCAGACACAAACTCCTCAGATAATCAATGTGGTTATCTGTACAAAATTATAGACATTACAGTCAGACTCCTCAGATAATCAATGTGGTTATCTGTACAAAATTATAGACATTACAGTCAGACATAAACTCCTCAGATAATCAATGTGGTTATCTGTACAAAATTATAGACATTACAGTCAGACATAAACTCCTCATATAAACAATGTGGTTATCTGTACAAAATTATAGACATTACAGTCAGACACAAACTCCTCATATAAACAATGTGGTTATGTGTACAAAATTATAGACATTACAGTCAGACACAAACTCCTCATATAAACAATGTGGTTATCTGTACAAAATTATAGACATTACAGTCAGACACAAACTCCTCATATAAACAATGTGGTTATGTGTACAAAATTATAGACATTACAGTCAGACACAAACTCCTCATATAAACAATGTGGTTATCTGTACAAAATTATAGACATTACAGTCAGACACAAACTCCTCATATAAACAATGTGGTTATCTGTACAAAATTATAGACATTACAGTCAGACACAAACTCCTCATATAAACAATGTGGTTATGTGTCCAAAATTATAGACATTTACAGTCAAACATAAACTCCTCATATAAACAATGTGGTTATGTGTACAAAATTATAGACATTACAGTCAGACACAAACTCCTCAGATAATCAATGTGGTTATCTGTACAAAATTATAGACATTACAGTCAGACACAAACTCCTCAGATAAACAATGTGGTTATGTGTACCTGCCATATCAATTAAAGGAAAATATGTTAAATTTTTTATCTTAAATGTGAAATTCACAAGATACGAGTTTTAGAGCCTTTTTTCTGGAGGGGGAAGGGAAGAGTACTGATATATGTGGAATTTATTCACCATTGATTGATAAAACTTATGAAACTTACTTGGGAATTCGCGTTGAGTTGAAAAGGCGTCCATATTGACTCATATCCAATGGAAATGCACTTTTTCTACTGTGCAACAATGCTCCATGCCAGGCAAATCTTTTTGGCATTTTTCTAAAACAGATATAGATTACTTTCCATTACTATTTCTTGTTTGTATTACCAGGGATATAAAACCTGGCATTTCAATAGGATTTATCATATCTCTATGCAAGCCCTTATTAAAACATTAATCACCAGATTTAAACTCTCACAGCAAAAATAACACATTTAATGCAATCACATGATTTTTAATAATAACCAGATGATTATGAACATCAAATGAAAACAAACAAACCTTATTTTTATGTTATTTAAAGTATGTATCTTAAATATAATAAATTTCCATGCAATATACAATGTAAACAGATTTCAGGTGATTGAGTGAAAACTGCCTGTTACTGCCTCTCACAAAAACCCATGTATGTTCTATCAATAACAAACATTTCCTAGTTGATTGAGACAATTAGCAGCATTACGGTGGACAGACAAGATGACATGTAGAATGAAAAGACAGCCTGATTTGAGAAAATTTTGATTCTCTTATTCCTTGAAAATAAAAATGAAAAAAAAAAAAAAAAGACAAAACTGAATTAACCTGTGGCAGCCTAAATGTCATATATTTCATTAAATAATTACCTGCAAAAGTTATCAAATTTTTCATTTTTGGTTTGTTCAGGTTTCAGATGGTAAACGTCAGGTTCCAAAATATTCTCGCTCAACGATTTAAGAAATCGTAAAGAAGATATGATCATGTTTGTTGATCTTAATAACTGAAATCAAAACATATTCCAGAACAGTTAAAAAAGCATAAATGTCATGCAAATATGTAGAATTATTTATCGTCAGTTTTCAAGTTATTAATTATGACTGCTTTATTCTATTCAAATACGTCCAATTTCTAAAAATAACAGTTAAAACAGAATAAAATTACACCAATCAAAATGCTCAGAAAAAAAATCTCTTACTTTTAGTAAAGACAGAAAAAAAAAGATGAAAAAAGGTTGAAATTATCTCAGATGTCTAAATGATATCTAAATTGGATGTTTTAAAACAAGTTGTTGAAATAATGTCTTCTATTTTGTTTCTGTCCAGTACAAATATGTTTTCATAGATAAGAAAATGCTACCTACCTGGGTACGATATTCGGGCTTAGGATCATCAACAAAGGACATGAACGGATTGAAGTTCAATACAATAGGAAGACGAGATTTAAGGTACATGTCAAACCATGGTTCTGAAAGATAAAAAAAAATCTGTTTAATAATCAGGATTTCATTAATCAAAATACAATCAAGACAGTAAAACAAAAAAAAAAAAAGGCCTAGATTTTTCGGAACTTGTTGAATGTCTATGTTTGAGCACAACTACATAGATTAAAGATATCCCATACAAATGATTTGAGAAAAGAAATATTTCAATTTGAAAGAAAACACTCATAACTACACACAAAAACAAAATTAAATATTTGACATTTGTCCCAGCGAATACATTCACTATGTAATAGAAGATATGCCAAAATTATGGATTTAAAGCATACACAACCTAACACTGGTTAAGTAAGTCTAGATTGTACCTTTTAAGAGGCAGTCATTACATTTACATAATTTAGACATCACCCTGACCAATCAGAAATCCCTGTAATTTGAATTTATTAATTGGTGCAATTTCAACTTTGTAAAGGTATTAAAACTTACTGGAAACATAGCTCGTATGTTTGTTTCTCTGGTCCAATTTCCGTAGCTGTTGTTGCAAATCTGAAATCAAACAAGACAGTCAATGGTTAATACCAGAAGAAATGTATATGAAATTGGTCATAGTAATAATCCTATCTATCTCTCTATCTGTCTATAACTACACTGTCTAATCTGCAGCAGTCATTGTTCCCTCTTAATCCTCCTATCTCTCTCTTTGTCCACCATTACACTGTCTAATCTGTAGCAGTCACTGTTCCCTCTGAATCCTCCTATCTCTCTCTCTCTCTCTGTCTATAACTACACTGTCTAATCTGTAGCAGTCACTGTTCCCTCTGAATCCTCCTATCTCTCTCTCTCTGTCTATAACTACACTGTCTAATCAGTAGCAGTCACTGTTCCCTCTGAATCCTCCTATCTCTCTGTCTATAACTACACTGTCTAATCTGTAGCAGTCACTGTTCCCTCTGAATCCTCCTATCTCTCTCTCTCTCTGTCTATAACTACACTGTCTAATCTGTAGCAGTCACTGTTCCCTCTGAATCCTCCTATCTCTCTGTCTATAACTACACTGTCTAATCTGTAGCAGTCACTGTTCCCTCTGAATCCTCCTATCTCTCTCTCTGTCTATAACTACACTGTCTAATCAGTAGCAGTCACTGTTCCCTCTGAATCCTCCTATCTCTCTCTCTGTCTATAACTACACTGTCTAATCTGTAGCAGTCACTGTTCCCTCTGAATCCTCCTGTCTCTCTGTCTGTCTATAACTACACTGTCTAATCTGTAGCAGTCACTGTTCCCTCTGAATCCTCCTATCTCTCTCTCTCTCTCTGTCTATAACTACACTGTCTAATCTGTAGCAGTCACTGTTCCCTCTGAATCCTCCTATCTCTCTCTCTCTCTAGCAGTCACTGTTCCCTCTGAATCCTCCTATCTCTCTCTCTCTGTCCACCACTACACTGTCTAATCTGTAGCAGTCACTGTTCCCTCTGAATCCTCCTCTCTCTCTCTCTCTCTGTCTATAACTACACTGTCTAATCTGTAGCAGTCACTGTTCCCTCTGAATCCTCCTATCTCTCTCTCTCTCTGTCTATAACTACACTGTCTAATCTGTAGCAGTCACTGTTCCCTCTGAATCCTCCTATCTCTCTCTCTCTCTCTGTCTATAACTACACTGTCTAATCTGTAGCAGTCACTGTTCCCTCTGAATCCTCCTATCTCTCTCTCTCTCTGTCCACCACTACACTGTCTAATCTGTAGCAGTCACTGTTCCCTCTGAATCCTCCTGTCTCTCTGTCTGTCTATAACTACACTGTCTAATCTGTAGCAGTCACTGTTCCCTCTGAATCCTCCTATCTCTCTCTCTCTCTCTGTCTATAACTACACTGTCTAATCTGTAGCAGTCACTGTTCCCTCTGAATCCTCCTATCTCTCTCTCTCTCTCTGTCTATAACTACACTGTCTAATCTGTAGCAGTCACTGTTCCCTCTGAATCCTCCTATCTCTCTCTTTGTCTGTCTATAACTACACTGTCTAATCTGTAGCAGTCACTGTTCCCTCTGAATCCTCCTATCTCTCTCTCTCTCTCTGTCTATAACTACACTGTCTAATCTGTAGCAGTCACTGTTCCCTCTGAATCCTCCTATCTCTCTCTCTCTCTCTGTCTATAACTACACTGTCTAATCTGTAGCAGTCACTGTTCCCTCTGAATCCTCCTATCTATCTCTCTCTCTGTCTATAACTACACTGTCTAATCTGTAGCAGTCACTGTTCCCTCTGAATCCTCCTATCTCTCTCTCTCTCTCTGTCTATAACTACACTGTCTAATCTGTAGCAGTCACTGTTCCCTCTGAATCCGCCTATCTATCTCTCTCTCTGTCCACCACTCTCTCTCTCTCTGTCTGTCTATAACTACACTGTCTAATCTGTAGCAGTCACTGTTCCCTCTGAATCCTCCTATCTCTCTCTCTCTCTGTCTATAACTACACTGTCTAATCTGTAGCAGTCACTGTTCCCTCTGAATCCTCCTATCTCTCTCTCTCTCTCTGTCTATAACTACACTGTCTAATCTGTAGCAGTCACTGTTCCCTCTGAATCCTCCTATCTCTCTCTTTGTCTGTCTATAACTACACTGTCTAATCTGTAGCAGTCACTGTTCCCTCTGAATCCTCCTATCTCTCTCTCTCTGTCTATAACTACACTGTCTAATCTGTAGCAGTCACTGTTCCCTCTGAATCCTCCTGTCTCTCTGTCTGTCTATAACTACACTGTCTAATCTGTAGCAGTCACTGTTCCCTCTGAATCCTCCTATCTCTCTCTCTGTCTATAACTACACTGTCTAATCTGTAGCAGTCACTGTTCCCTCTGAATCCTCCTATCTCTCTCTCTCTCTCTGTCTATAACTACACTGTCTAATCTGTAGCAGTCACTGTTCCCTCTGAATCCTCCTATCTCTCTCTCTCTGTCTATAACTACACTGTCTAATCTGTAGCAGTCACTGTTCCCTCTGAATACTCCTATCTCTCTGTCTATAACTACACTGTCTAATCTGTAGCAGTCACTGTTCCCTCTGAATCCTCCTATCTCTCTCTGTCTGTCTATAACTACACTGTCTAATCTGTAGCAGTCACTGTTCCCTCTGAATCCTCCTATCTCTCTCTCTCTCTCTGTCTATAACTACACTGTCTAATCTGTAGCAGTCACTGTTCCCTCTGAATCCTCCTATCTCTCTCTCTCTCTCTGTCTATAACTACACTGTCTAATCTGTAGCAGTCACTGTTCCCTCTGAATCCTCCTATCTCTCTCTTTGTCTGTCTATAACTACACTGTCTAATCTGTAGCAGTCACTGTTCCCTCTGAATCCTCCTATCTCTCTCTCTCTCTCTGTCTATAACTACACTGTCTAATCTGTAGCAGTCACTGTTCCCTCTGAATCCTCCTATCTCTCTCTCTCTCTCTGTCTATAACTACACTGTCTAATCTGTAGCAGTCACTGTTCCCTCTGAATCCTCCTATCTATCTCTCTCTCTGTCTATAACTACACTGTCTAATCTGTAGCAGTCACTGTTCCCTCTGAATCCTCCTATCTCTCTCTCTCTCTCTGTCTATAACTACACTGTCTAATCTGTAGCAGTCACTGTTCCCTCTGAATCCTCCTATCTATCTCTCTCTCTGTCCACCACTACACTGTCTAATCTGTAGCAGTCACTGTTCCCTCTGAATCCTCCTGTCTCTCTGTCTGTCTATAACTACACTGTCTAATCTGTAGCAGTCACTGTTCCCTCTGAATCCTCCTATCTCTCTCTCTCTCTGTCTATAACTACACTGTCTAATCTGTAGCAGTCACTGTTCCCTCTGAATCCTCCTATCTCTCTCTCTCTCTCTGTCTATAACTACACTGTCTAATCTGTAGCAGTCACTGTTCCCTCTGAATCCTCCTATCTCTCTCTTTGTCTGTCTATAACTACACTGTCTAATCTGTAGCAGTCACTGTTCCCTCTGAATCCTCCTATCTCTCTCTCTCTGTCTATAACTACACTGTCTAATCTGTAGCAGTCACTGTTCCCTCTGAATCCTCCTGTCTCTCTGTCTGTCTATAACTACACTGTCTAATCTGTAGCAGTCACTGTTCCCTCTGAATCCTCCTATCTCTCTCTTTGTCTGTCTATAACTACACTGTCTAATCTGTATCTGTTCCCTCTGAATCCTCCTATCTCTCTCTCTCTGTCTATAACTACACTGTCTAATCTGTAGCAGTCACTGTTCCCTCTGAATCCTCCTATCTCTCTCTCTGTCTATAACTACACTGTCTAATCTGTAGCAGTCACTGTTCCCTCTGAATCCTCCTATCTATCTCTCTCTCTGTCTATAACTACACTGTCTAATCTGTAGCAGTCACTGAATCCTCCTATCTCTCTGTCTATAACTACACTGTCTAATCTGTAGCAGTCACTGTTCCCTCTCAATCCTCCTGTCTATCTCTCACTCTGTCTTTAACTACTCTGTCTAATCTGTAGCAGTCACTGTTCCCTCTGAATCCTCCTATCTCTCTCTCTCTCTGTCTATAACTACACTGTCTAATCTGTAGCAGTCACTGAATCCTCCTATCTATCTCTCTCTCTGTCTATAACTACACTGTCTAATCTGTAGCAGTCACTGTTCCCTCTGAATCCTCCGATCTCTCTCTCTCTCTCTGTCTATAACTACACTGTCTAATCTGTAGCAGTCACTCTATCTCTCTCTCTGTCCACCACTACACTGTCTAATCTGTAGCAGTCACTCTCTCTCTCTCTGTCTATAACTACACTGTCTAATCTGTAGCAGTCACTGTTCCCTCTGAATCCTCCTATCTCTCTCTCTCTCTCTGTCTATAACTACACTGTCTAATCTGTAGCAGTCACTGTTCCCTCTGAATCCTCCTATCTCTCTCTCTCTCTCTGTCTATAACTACACTGTCTAATCTGTAGCAGTCACTGTTCCCTCTGAATCCTCCTATCTCTCTCTTTGTCTGTCTATAACTACACTGTCTAATCTGTAGCAGTCACTGTTCCCTCTGAATCCTCCTATCTCTCTCTCTCTCTCTGTCTATAACTACACTGTCTAATCTGTAGCAGTCACTGTTCCCTCTGAATCCTCCTATCTCTCTCTCTCTCTCTGTCTATAACTACACTGTCTAATCTGTAGCAGTCACTGTTCCCTCTGAATCCTCCTATCTATCTCTCTCTCTGTCTATAACTACACTGTCTAATCTGTAGCAGTCACTGTTCCCTCTGAATCCTCCTATCTCTCTCTCTCTCTCTGTCTATAACTACACTGTCTAATCTGTAGCAGTCACTGTTCCCTCTGAATCCTCCTATCTCTCTCTCTCTGTCCACCACTACACTGTCTAATCTGTAGCAGTCACTGTTCCCTCTGAATCCTCCTATCTCTCTCTCTGTCTGTCTATAACTACACTGTCTAATCTGTAGCAGTCACTGTTCCCTCTGAATCCTCCTATCTCTCTCTCTGTCTATAACTACACTGTCTAATCTGTAGCAGTCACTGTTCCCTCTGAATCCTCCTATCTCTCTCTCTCTCTCTGTCTATAACTACACTGTCTAATCTGTAGCAGTCACTGTTCCCTCTGAATCCTCCTATCTCTCTCTCTCTCTCTATAACTACACTGGATTTCAGACTCTCTCTCTGTCTATATCTACACTGTCTAATCTGTAGCAGTCACTGTTCCCTCTGAATCCTCTATCTCTCTCTGTCTGTCTATAACTACACTGTCTAATCTGTAGCAGTCACTGTTCCCTCTGAATCCTCCTATCTATCTCTCTCTCTGTCTATAACTACACTGTCTAATCTGTAGCAGTCACTGTTCCCTCTGAATCCTCCTATCTCTCTCTCTCTCTCTGTCTATAACTACACTGTCTAATCTGTAGCAGTCACTGTTCCCTCTGAATCCTCCTATCTCTCTCTCTCTGTCTATAACTACACTGTCTAATCTGTAGCAGTCACTGTTCCCTCTGAATCCTCCTATCTATCGCTCTCTCTGTCTATAACTACACTGTCTAATCTGTAGCAGTCACTGTTCCCTCTGAATCCTCCTATCTCTCTCTGTCTGTCTATAACTACACTGTCTAATCTGTAGCAGTCACTGTTCCCTCTGAATCCTCCTATCTCTCTCTCTCTGTCTATAACTACACTGTCTAATCTGTAGCAGTCTGTGTTCACTCTGAATCCTCCTATCTCTCTCTCTCTCTGTCTATAACTACACTGTCTAATCTGTAGCAGTCACTGTTCCCTCTGAATCCTCCTATCTCTCTCTGTCTGTCTATAACTACACTGTCTAATCTGTAGCAGTCACTGTTCCCTCTGAATCCTCCTCTCTCTCTCTCTCTCTCTGTCTATAACTACACTGTCTAATCTGTAGCAGTCACTGTTCCCTCTGAATCCTCCTATCTCTCTCTCTCTCTCTGTCTATAACTACACTGTCTAATCTGTAGCAGTCACTGTTCCCTCTGAATCCTCCTATCTCTCTCTCTGTCTATAACTACACTGTCTAATCTGTAGCAGTCACTGTTCCCTCTGAATCCTCCTATCTCTCTCTCTCTCTCTGTCTATAACTACACTGTCTAATCTGTAGCAGTCACTGTTCCCTCTGAATCCTCCTATCTCTCTCTCTCTGTCCACCACTACACTGTCTAATCTGTAGCAGTCACTGTTCCCTCTGAATCCTCCTGTCTCTCTGTCTGTCTATAACTACACTGTCTAATCTGTAGCAGTCACTGTTCCCTCTGAATCCTCCTATCTCTCTCTCTCTCTCTCTGTCTATAACTACACTGTCTAATCTGTAGCAGTCACTGTTCCCTCTGAATCCTCCTATCTCTCTCTCTCTCTCTGTCTATAACTACACTGTCTAATCTGTAGCAGTCACTGTTCCCTCTGAATCCTCCTATCTCTCTCTGTCTGTCTATAACTACACTGTCTAATCTGTAGCAGTCACTGTTCCCTCTGAATCCTCCTATCTCTCTCTCTGTCCACCATTACACTGTCTAATCTGTAGCAGTCACTGTTCCCTCTGAATCCTCCTGTCTCTCTGTCTATAACTACACTGTCTAATCTGTAGCAGTCACTGTTCCCTCTGAATCCTCCTATCTATCTCTCTCTCTGTCTATAACTACACTGTCTAATCTGTAGCAGTCACTGTTCCCTCTGAATCCTCCTATCTCTCTCTCTCTCTGTCTATAACTACACTGTCTAATCTGTAGCAGTCACTGTTCCCTCTGAATCCTCCTATCTCTCTCTCTCTGTCTATAACTACACTGTCTAATCTGTAGCAGTCACTGTTCCCTCTGAATCCTCCTATCTCTCTCTCTCTGTCTATAACTACACTGTCTAATCTGTAGCAGTCACTGAATCCTCCTATCTCTCTCTTCCCTCTGAATCCTCCTATCTCTCTCTCTCTCTGTCTAGCATAACTATCTCTCTCTCTCTCTGTCTAATCTGTAGCAGTCACTGTTCCCTCTGAATCCTCCTGTCTCTCTCTCTCTGTCTAATCTGTAGCTGTCTCTGTTCCCTCTGAATCCTCCTATCTCTCTCTCTCTGTCTATAACTACACTGTCTAATCTGTAGCAGTCACTGTTCCCTCTGAATCCTCCTATCTCTCTCTCTCTCTGTCCACCACTACACTGTCTAATCTGTAGCAGTCACTTTTCCCTCTGAATCCTCCTATCTCTCTCTCTCTGTCTATAACTACACTGTCTAATCTGTAGCAGTCACTGTTCCCTCTGAATCCTCCTATCTCTCTCTCTCTGTCTATAACTACACTGTCTAATCTGTAGCAGTCACTGTTCCCTCTGAATCCTCCTATCTCTCTCTCTCTCTGTCTATAACTACACTGTCTAATCTGTAGCAGTCACTGTTCCCTCTGAATCCTCCTATCTCTCTCTCTGTCTATAACTACACTGTCTAATCTGTAGCAGTCACTATTCCCTCTGAATCCTCCTATCTCTCTCTCTGTCTATAACTACACTGTCTAATCTGTAGCAGTCACTGTTCCCTCTGAATCCTCCTATCTCTCTCTCTCTCTGTCTATAACTACACTGTCTAATCTGTAGCAGTCACTGTTCCCTCTGAATCCTCCTATCTCTCTCTCTCTGTCTATAACTACACTGTCTAATCTGTAGCAGTCACTGTTCCCTCTGAATCCTCCTATCTCTCTCTCTGTCTATAACTACACTGTCTAATCTGTAGCAGTCACTGTTCCCTCTGAATCCTCCTATCTCTCTCTCTCTGTCCACCACTACACTGTCTAATCTGTAGCAGTCACTGTTCCCTCTGAATCCTCCTATCTCTCTCTTTGTCTGTCTATAACTACACTGTCTAATCTGTAGCAGTCACTGTTCCCTCTGAATCCTCCTATCTCTCTCTCTGTCCACCACTACACTGTCTAATCTGTAGCAGTCACTGTTCCCTCTGAATCCTCCTATCTCTCTCTCTGTCTATAACTACACTGTCTAATCTGTAGCAGTCACTTTTCCCTCTGAATCCTCCTATCTCTCTCTCTCTGTCTATCACTACACTGTCTAATCTGTAGCAGTCACTGTTCCCTCTGAATCCTCCTATCTCTCTCTCTGTCTATAACTACACTGTCTAATCTGTAGCAGTCACTTTTCCCTCTGAATCCTCCTATCTCTCTCTCTGTCCACCATTACACTGTCTAATCTGTAGCAGTCACTGTTCCCTCTGAATCCTCCTATCTATCTCTCTCTCTGTCTATAACTACACTGTCTAATCTGTAGCAGTCACTGTTCCCTCTGAATCCTCCTATCTCTCTGTCTATAACTACACTGTCTAATCTCTCTCTCTGAATCCTCCTATCTCTCTGTCCACCACTACACTGTCTAATCTGTAGCAGTCACTGTTCCCTCTGAATCCTCCTATCTATCTCTCTCTCTGTCTATAACTACACTGTCTAATCTGTAGCAGTCACTGTTCCCTCTGAATCCTCCTATCTCTCTGTCTATAACTACACTGTCTAATCTGTAGCAGTCACTGTTCCCTCTGAATCCTCCTATCTCTCTGTCCACCACTACACTGTCTAATCTGTAGCAGTCACTGTTCCCTCTGAATCCTCCTATCTCTCTCTGTCTGTCTATAACTACACTGTCTAATCTGTAGCAGTCACTGTTCCCTCTGAATCCTCCTATCTCTCTCTCTCTCTGTCTATAACTACACTGTCTAATCTGTAGCAGTCACTGTTCCCTCTGAATCCTCCTATCTCTCTCTCTCTCTGTCTATAACTACACTGTCTAATCTGTAGCAGTCACTTTTCCCTTTGCATACCCAATAACTGGATCTCCCACGTTGAATTAAAAAAACCTACATGGAATAAATGATTACCAAATTGAGTAGTACAAATACAGACTTACACTTTCCATCTTCTGCCATGAATTTGATGGTACGATCTTGTGTATCTTCCCATTCTTTCTGTGTAAGAATGACCTGCTGAGACTCCAGATAATTATCACAACTTGCCTCTAGTTTGGGAACGGCTAACCGAGGTAGACTATCTTGAAAGTAGTCAGTTGGTATAACACTCCGTTGTAGATACTCCCAGTCTGACCCAGGGCTTGTACTTTAAATATAATATCAAAAAAGTCATATTTTTGGCTAATAAAACACATACATTTTATATATCGTTGGTTATATACATGGGGGATTTAATCTAGATATATTTCTTGTCACTGAGGATTGCACCAAATTTAATACACTTCAACTATTTTATTGTGAATAAGAAAAATTGATCAGAAAATGAAAATCATATGCATGTGTGCTGCGTGGACACCAATATTGGAGAGTGCTGAAGATTTCATTGCACAAAATTTAATATCCATGCCAATTAGCTCCACAGTATGAAAAATATTGTATGACATTAAATTTAACTAAAAACACTTTACTTATACAATGTCAGGGTTTTTCTCAGGAGCTTTTTTAGAGCCAATAATGGGCCCCATTCTCAAGTGAAATATCTAAGCTGAGTTTCAAAACTTGCAATTTACGCCTGAAATTTTCCTTCATAGTTCAGAATTTTTTTCTAGAATAAGACAAAAGGGCCCCATTCCAAACCAGAAATAAAACCTGAGTATAAGAATTACCATAGAATTAGAAATATCACATATGCTGCATATAACTGTAAGGGATCTTTTTACCTGTAAACAGCCCGAGGTCCATTTCTAAAGGTCTGGTTTGCCACCTTTAAAATAGAGTTCATACCATTACAATGTGAAATCACAAAACATTTTTGATACAATGACTAATTAAAGCGCAGCTCTTTACAAACTAGAATAATGGAATTAAAATCAGAGACATAAATACCCCGCTTCCCAAACATGTTGCTTTTAGTTTTTGATGTTCTGAAAACCAGACATAGTACTCTATGAAAAATAGCCAAGTTACTGTGTTAAGACATAGTTTTGGTTCGTTAAGATACAACTTGATGACCTGAAATTTAAGCTGTAGTTTTCAGTTGTATGTTGTTGTTGAGAGACAGTAATTTAGGGAGGTAACATAAACTAGAACGAAGGTATTGAGAAGTTTATTTATGTCTTGTTTCAGCCTATTCTTTAATTATACATTTGCAAGTTAGCAAATGCTACACAATCTTAAATGCTTTATGATACAATATCAGTGTCCCACACTTGTCTAATTTTGTCAGGTCAACCTGACGTTTGTCATATTCTCACCTGCTTAAATCGCGCTAGAATCACTGGAAATCATATTATATTGAACAGTACTTACAAATTTCAAAGAACAATCTTGGAGTCTATCATAGTAAAAATTGTGTTCAAGCATAACACAGAACATCTTAATATACCGATGTGAAAACTATATGAAATAGAATTGATGATTGGGTCTTTTCCATAGATGACCCTTTAAAACACCCTGTCGGGCTGAGACCAGATGTTTGATGACTTACATTAGAGGTTGATGACACTGTAATATACATGCAATATAACACCCTGCGGAATGTTATGTATTTTGGACTAAATGGACTGTATCACATGAACTATTAACTTGCGTGACCTCACGCCCATACGGTTTTGTTTGCTGTAACATGTCATGTATTCAGAAGTGAAAAATTCATGCACCATAAAACATGAAGAGTATATATTTCATTGGCAAATTGGGGTATTTTTCTTTATACAACTTTTTTACTTATCAAACATTCTCCCTGTTATGATAAAATATCCCATCAATATGTCCACAAATGTCAGGGTCTTGTTATTGTTTGTCAACTACATCAAATCAACCATGAATGATAGGCCATAACTCCTGACAATTCGTTGACTAAGAAAGTCCAAACATGCACATGTGACTAATTTCTGATTGAATTAACAAATGAGTTTATTATTAATCAACAAAAAAATGAAATCTTGAATCTAACCCTTTGGAAAAGATGCATACAGAAACCATTATACGTCCCTGCAGAAACGCAAATATCCACCATTTTGTACCATGATTTAAGTTTTTACCCTCTTTTTTTTATCAAAATGTCATTCCCATTCAATTCATTTCATTTGATTGATGTGTACTTCTGAGCCACTGCAAGCTAACTCAATTGTCTCTTAGATGTCATGGTGTCATCAAATTTTGTCGGTCATTTCAGTTGCGCGAATTCGAGGTCGTATCAGACTGGATTATTTTAAAGAAAAACACTGATGTTTCACTGGTAAGGTTTTAAAAATTAGATTTAAGAGTACGAAAACAATTCGACTGATTTATGTATTTGTTTGGTGCAATTCATCAACATAGCATAGCTAGCGAGATACGGTTTTTAAGAGGTCCGAAACTAATGCGCCAAGGATTGTACAAAATACTACCGACTGGTAAAGGTAAAAACGGTATTCATGTTACAGCTTAAACGAACAACTTATAAAAATATACTTAATGTTAATATAACCCTTTCAAGTAAATGTGCTGGTAAATGTTGGAATTTTCAACGTTACGGTCGAATAAGCATGGAAATGTAATAAATGAATAGGGAATGTCGGTTGAATGTTACCTGTTTCACTTGGTGTAGACGAGTGCATTTGGTTGCAAGTGTTTTCACATGTACCCTGAACATCCTTTTCCCTCCTGAATAATTGGCTACAGCTTATTTTTAAAAAAATATATATCAATAGATAATTGATGGACTTTGAACTTTCCAAAACTGTAGTTACTAGGAAGATCGTTATTTACAACTCAGCCGGCATCTCGAGCCGGAAGTTATCAGTAAGGACTATTTTATGAAACGGAAAGCGGGTTTTCCCTAATCCGGATTGTTCGGATTGTCAGATGACCATGTTTCAAAATCTGGTTTTAAATTATACTGTCTTTAAACAAAAATCCTACAAACTGCCGATGATTTGTTCTTTTGGTCCAGGGGGTTTCGAAAAAAAGACTCATCTATGTGTGTAAGAACAAGGAAAAACACATTCCTTACATGAATGGAACGCGGCTTCCAACTGTACCAAAGAAACATCAGCTGTGTGAGCGACAGAGGACACATCGCAAGAACACTGACGTTCATCGGTGAGACGATACCCGGATATGTGAGGAGTAACGGAGACGGAAAACATGTCAACAAACACTATATGTACGCCAAGAATTTGTCAGAATATCGTCTTGATATATTCAGGTATGAAAAATATACTATAGATTTTGTAGGCCTGTAACTGACCTAATATTTGATGACGAGAGGTGGGGGAGGTTTCCTAAATCTTAACCCCAAACTCTATATGGAACAGAGAAAAGCATATCCCTACGGTGTTCCCTGACGGCAGGATTCGAACCCGGGTCACCTGCGCGATAATCTCTGGCTCTATCAAGTGATCCAAAGACGCACACTCAATCAAACTTTTTGTCTAACTGGTGTCGATTTAGCACTCAGTGACCTGTCAGACCAGAGCCATATACAAGACAGAGATAAGAAACTGCTTCTTGAGCTTACCATTGGTCACACGTGACCGGATGTAACTATTCTTACAACGTTGTATGTGTACCCATATGTACCATGATATATCTAAAGGATTTCCGAACGTGACTACTTGCGTCATTTTGTGATCAGTGAAAAGTAAAGTTTATTTTTGTTACAAAATCTATGCGAATAAATGCAGATGATTTATCATAAAATTTGTTAGCGTCAAATGGAAACTCATCCAGCTTTTAACATCCTTGATTTACAATCGTACTTACCACTATATATATACCTCCTGACTGACTTAGAAAAGGACCAAGATTCTGAGTGAGACCTAAGACTGACATGATGTGAATTTTAGCTGTCGCCTTATTCCCCAATAAAATTACTATTTTACCTGAAAAACTCAAGAGTGGATAGGCTGAATATTTTATAAGCTCATACTAATATCATATTTCTTAATAACTTCTGATTTGTGCTCTGATAAAATGCAGGCGGTTTGAAGCTGTGTGTCCAAACGCTTCAGATGTTGAAAGGAAGAAGATTGGTACAACATTTACGAAGAAGAAGAGAAATGTGGAATCTGGCCTAAAAATCCAAGGTTGGCACATTCTTTATTAATGAAATGACGTAATCTCGGCTTAATTCGATAAAAACATCAATACTTATAATGTTGGAATTATAAATGGTCAGATTACTGCAAGTAATATTTATAAAGGGAGATAACTCAACGCTACAATGCTATGACGTAACGTCCTTTGTTCCACATTTCCTTCACAACAGAGGCGGCTAGCTAAAGCAACGACACGAATTTGCGCAGGATAAAACAACAAATCAGTTTTGACTCGACAATTGAAAAAGTACGACATGGATAACAACAATAACAACCAGGTAAGGTGTACGTTATATATAATGTTTACATAAAGTTTAATAGTTAAATAAAATCGACGTAAATGATAAAATATAATTGTCTCGTAAAAAAATCGCCTGAAGCACAACTTTTTTTTTATCTATTTATTTCCGCTTTCATGTTGTAAAATTTCTGACTGATTATGCAGATTATGACAACATTGAATTATATAATGTTCACTTCGTTTTTGTTTTATATATCAGATTATTGGGGTAGATGGATGGCCGGACGATGTATATGGATTTCTTAGGGGGAAACGATCAAGTGGCTTGAACCTGTGGGTTACTTTCTTGTTGGAGAACAAGGTATTATTGTATATACAGCTGCCAGAAATTTTAAGAAAATCGTATGTTGTTAAATTGCTCATAATATTAAATAAACATTTCCATGATAAGTTTCCAATGTTTTTAAATCTACAATCCGATGTCAATTCCGTTAATATTGTGGGTAAAAGTTAAAGGCTTCAAGCTATCGGTATATCTATAGATATGTTTTCATTTTCTATAAGTGATTTACATGTATTATTTAGATCAAGCGTAACGACACAAATGCCAAAAAGCAGCAGATGTTTACCAGCAGTTTGGATCAGAATGAAGGGAATGAAGAAGAAGATGTGGTATACCAGGAGGAAGTGGATGACAATCCCTACATTAGGTTGTATACCGACTGCGAAGATTGGGGATTTGGAAATAACATGCCAGAGGCCTGGAGACGATAAATACAGGTAAAATGATGCTCAAAATAGACCTATATATCTTGTTGAAAAATGAAAATTTTAATATTTCTTGTTACGATTTTATAATTATATACAGATGCGCGAAGGATGGTGTTCAAAAATAAACATTGATATATTTTTTCTCGTTTTATTGCAGTTCAAGAAACCAAAGCGGGGTATCCACATCTGAGTACATATACATGCACCCCATTACACAGCACTGTATATGTCGCCTTGCAGACGTGTAAAACACGTACGGAGACTTTGAACCCCAACGATCACAGAATAAAATTCGACAAATATGTATATTAATGAAATTTTAGAGAAAGACTTTAACTGTTAATTAAAGGAACATGTACTTGATTTGTTTCCTATTCCTTTCAAATAGGATCCATCATCCAAAGGGTGTTGAATAGGTCGGGAGTGTACAGGAACGATATATTATACTATAATGCATAGTGATACTTTTTCGGAGATTGTTAATTTTCGAGTTGGAAAGCTACATAGTGATAAATTGTTCATTGTTTTCAGGAATTGTTAGTTTGTGCCGTTTACTGCACGTAAATTTTGTGATTTTTTTTCTCAGTAAACAAAAAGTTTGTAAAATATCTATATACTTATAAAACTGTCTGACATACAACCAAAAATCCTATTTTTTTCGCAAAAATATTATTTCTCTTTCTTCGCCAATTTCTTGCTTCTCACCTTCTATTTTGTTGTAAGAAATATTAAGTTATTACATTACATAAATGTTACTTTGTAAATAAATATATATGTTTACTTATGAATAAACTATTAAACATTATTATTCCTGAAGTCATTTTTTGTATCCCACAATCCCCTTGTCGTTGATCATCGTTTTCTGGTATTGCTTCGGTTTTCCTCGCAATGCCTCGACTAAATCCGTCAAATACTATAACTTAATGATATTATCGATTAGCGATATCGATTGCACGTTTGTTTTAATCACATACATGTATGACTACTTCCGGATCATTCTCTTTGATTGGTTTTCGAAAATTCGATTATTTGATTGTATTAGATTAATGATATAGTTTCAAAAGTCAAAATATTAAATTGTTGGTATCACAAAATAGTTCGGTATTTACTTATATATATATATATATATGATCTGAAAACTTACAACGCAGTACAAGAATATCGGTATATCACCATAAATTCAAATATTGCAGTTCGATTTGCTTCTTGAACGAAAAAAAAAATCTATTCAGGTTTGTCTCCTCCTTCCACCTCCCGGGCTTCTAGCCTGATGTTCCTAACAAGCATACTAACTAGCACCCAGGGTTGGGAGTCAATTAGTAGTGTAACCCCTTACTTAGTCATTAAGTTGCTGGCGCATGACGTAGTTCCACACAACTGGGGTCAAAGTTCAAAAGTGCAATTTAAGGTACCAAAGTTCCAGAAACTTCTTCTCAAGTTTGGAAAGGCCTAGAGGTTCGATCGTTCGCACATATATTGCTAAGATAATTGTCTATTGAGTTTGCTAATATGAATGACATTGACCCACTTTCTAGGTCATGTTGATCAATTATATTGATATCATTAAATGACATTTTCTTTCATTTTAAGAGGAAAACAGTTACGTGTTTCGATTAACAACCTTCTGTAGAGATTTCTTTCTAATTAGTTTAAGCAAAACTTCCACAAAAGACCAACTTCCGGTTTTCCTTAGGGATCAAAGTTCAAAACTTCAATGCAGGGTATAAAAATATACATAAATTCTTCTCAAGTTTGGAAAGGTCCAGAGGTTCGATGCTAAGATAATTGTCTATCAAATTTGTAAATACGAATGACCTTGACCTACTTTCAAGGTCACAGGCGTCAATCATGTAAACAAAAATCCTAAGAATTCAATTTAATATTTTCAGAGATAAACAATTGTGAAATCATTAAGTTTGTTCTATTCAGTCACCAAATTAAGATGGATACACGTATCAATTTTTTTGTATCATTATGGTTTAGAAAATTGATATTAAAAAGAAAAATAGGAAATAATTATATGTATATGGACATTAATTTTATTCTCATGATCAGAGATTGCAGTTATTGTAAGGCTCATTATTATAATGTTAATATAAACAAATATATAACAATATTAGTAAAGGTCACCACAAAAACACATTGTGAATTTGTCCCTTTGATGTTTATGGTTATAACAAGATGCCCATTCCAATATGTTTTGTTCCATTCCAATGTTATGATTGCTCCAAGTTACATGTATAAACTTGTGAAATATGTTATTGTCGGCTGACCTAAATACTATGATGAGTGGAGAAGGAAGGAGGATACGGTATCAATAGCTTTTACAATTGAAAATTCTCTTTGCAAACAACTGTATAAGTGTATACTAAAAATGATTTACTTTTGTTAAATCATTTTACATTGCTGCGGGTTAACAGGAATTGACCATGATAAAAAAATTCAAAAAAGAAAATGAACAGTCAGGTACATGTAGAACAGTAGACATCTTCTGAAATTTTGATTCTTGATAACATTACAAATTTCAAATTTATTGTTACAGAAGTAAAATCATTTAGATTGAACCCTGTTATTGGTAGGCCACTAGTGGTAAAAGTTCTTCATCTGTTTTATATATCTTCA